CACCTTTCAAATTCACACTCGCCTAAATTGGTTTATTTTCTTTTCCTGTATATTTGTGTGCGTTCATGCAGAGAGAGACCTTTTTGTTTAGCCACCTGTCTTGTTTGTTAATAATACCAAGGAAGTCATTTGATCCTATTAAATGGCAATTCTTTCTAATTTTCTTTCTTTAGCAGATCCTGTTTTTAAGCTCAGTTCACTGTATCAAAAAAGGCATTCAGACTGATTTCTGTATTAGCTGCCTTGATGGATTTTATTGCAACAGCAAGAGCGATGTGGGTATCACAGTGAGCTGTGATACAGCTGCCACTGTGTCATACGTGATAGCTGACGGAGGATGACAGATTTTATTTGAAGCAGCATTGCCATCACTCTGCCTGATGCAAGGATGGCAAAGAGACAGAAATTGGCCTAATGGTTGATAGGTGGTGCAGTGCTCATGATAGGATGGTGGGGAAAAATGGTCACATATTATTCAGTTACTCTGGTGCAATGTGTAACCACTTTGTTTTGCTGCTGTTCAGCAGTTGTGCTTTGTATGTTTTGTATTTTCCAACAACTTAAAAAAAAAAACCCAGGACCTAAGCAGTGTCTGCACAGACATCTGGATGGTAGCTTGCAAGGCAGGAAGGCTGTAGCTGTTAGTACGGCTAACTTTAGTCCCAATCTCCACACTATTGCATCATGTCTGTGCAACGTTATACCTACAATTTAAAATGTGGTTTGATTAATGAAGAATGTGATTAACAGTTTCAAATGGGTCTTTAATGTTTTAATCAGGCCAGTGTGTCATTGTTACGGAGTTTATACTGATATTTAAGACTGTCTTAGTTTGGATTCGTTTTATTATTTTGGTTAGCTTTACTATTCGCTTATGTTTTTGCTCAAATACTCTCTGTAGTAAGCTGATATCAACAGATACATAAGGCTGACTCATTTTGCACTCCCCCATAACATGACGGTACTGTGGCTTTTTTTTCTCTACCTGTTTGTCACTGCAGTCTCATCTAATAATCATCAGTTGTTCCTTAATGAGTACTCGCTGGGGTGACACCAGTGGGGTGGAAAAAAGTAAGCACATAAAGTTCAGTTAAGTGCAGCAAGACCTGCTGTTACGCTCTAGAGTCTATACAATGGATTATATGTGACACTGACATTTTGTGATGACAGCAAATCGGTTGAGGGAAGGAGCTGGTTGCATGTTCGCAGCTGTTAATTTGTTTGTCAAAAGTATAACCACGAATGAGCTCAGATCTAGGAATCAGTGTAATTGCTTTTTACTTGATTTGTTCAAATTTAGTTGCGCTACAAGCGTGAAAACGACTTTCAGCTCCAAAGGTCTGAGTGAGTGTAACAACCACTCTTGTGTAGAAGTGTGGCCAGATTTATTGCTGTTGAACACTTCTTATGTGCTTTACAATATCTTAAAAGCGACAACTGTACAGCATATAACCAATCAGACTTCCTCGGGTTTAGTGTAATCATGCAACCGAAGTAGCTCGGCCTAGAAGCTGTAGCCTGGGGCAGATAAAGGCCACAGCACGTTCACATACCTCCTGTCTCCTAGAAGAGTTGACGTCACTGTCCCTCATCTTGTCATAAATCTGCCTTTTCACTTCAATTTCCTGCCCTCTCCAAAGAAGCACAGCTGCTGCTTTTCCTGAAAATCAAACTGTCCCTTCTGTCTCTTTTTTTCCTACTGAATTCTTTGTAGTGCACTAAAAGTTGTCACCTCCTGGAAAGTTGAGTAATTTAACTTAGGGTGAACTTAAGCTATGACAGCGTTGCACAACCTTCCTCCTTTCCTTTCTTCTGTTGTCCGTGCTCAAGCCCGTGAAGAAATCCAGTTTGACAGCCTTAGTGACAACAAGCAGAGACACATTCATGAGTGCAGATTTCATCTGCTCAAACTGTTGCATTTCAGTTTTTATTGTTCTGTTGCAGAGACAGAAAGCGGCTATTAGATGCTGTCGTGCAGTGACACACAACCCTGCTTTCGGCTGTAACTGTAAGAATGTATTCTGTATCGGCTGCACTGTCTCTGCGGTCGTGGCCTAATTGAAGCAGAATTGAATCTCTCCGGTTGAAAAAACAGCCGGAGCTTTAGAGTGCTTCCATTTGCATTTCATAAAATGTAGCCTACCCAGAAGATATCAATCGTTCCACCAGTAATGGAATCTTTTTATACGGTCTAATTTGTGCAGCTCCTCTTCTCATGAGTCATAAATCTCTTTTGTGGTTGTTCTTTATCTGTGCTATGCCCTCTCATTAAAGACTAAAATGTAAATGATTATAGGCGTAAGGGAATATACAATCCCCCTGCATTATAAATCTGTGCTGCTGATTGTTTCCCTTGTGTCAAATCCATGTACTGTTGTGCTCATATATGCATACATATGCTCCCCATGCTTGTGCTTGTCTGTTTTGAACCCTGACCTTTGTTACTGCTGTAATTCGGTGCCTCACAATAGCTCCCTGATAGCCTTACATTAGATTAGACTGTAGATATCAAACGGGCAGTTTTATTTGATTAAGTTGCTTGGCAATAGATGGCAAAAAAGCTTTATAACACCCCTTTCAACTGTCAATTATTTAACTTATCCGTATCTTCAAAAGGCTCCTTGTAATCTCCACTAATTTCTCGTCAGTCATGTCTTGAAGTAATCGAGCTTCCACTTGTAGACTCCTTACTTGGCAGAGAGCTAAATATAAACTGGATTGTTAAGATGGTTCTCATACCATGAGGTGGCTTTTATCACAGAGCGGATTTTCACAAACTGGAGTAAAAAATTCCATCAAACATTCCTTATATCTCTGTGCAGATTTCCCCCAAATTTGGTTGCATCATAAGTGATTCCTTGTCAATGCCTCACGTCGAATGACCTTACCTAAAGCTTGGTGAAGTAGAGCATGTAATTGCTCACTGTCTGTCAGAAAAATCTAATAGGCAAAGTAATGTGGATGTGTGTGCGTGCTGAGGAGGGTGAATTCAAAATGAGCACACAAATTGATTTTGTGTGTTTGTTGTTTTCTACCAAAGAAGTCCTTTGAGAATTATTATTTATTTATTTTGAGGGGTTGATGTTTTTAGCACCGTTGTCCTGAAAAAGAAAAAGTTTGCCAGTAAGAATTTCATTAGCAGTTTGAAGAGTTGTTCTAGTCTCCATCCAATGAATTATCTATTTAAATTTTGATTAAATATGACTCACAAACATGAGATTGTCATATTTAGCTTGCTTACGTAATCTAGCCTTCTGATAGACTGGAACCCCCGTACAGGGTGTATGCAGAATAATGCCCAGTGTGAGCTGGGATAAGCGGTTTAATAACTTTGTGCAGGGATGAGTATGGATTATTTTTGTAATGACTTCTTATGTGTCACAGCAGTGCAGAGCCTCACATAAACTCACCTCTAAATTATCCTTTGCATTAGGGGGAAAAATACATATTTTGACATTTTGTAAAAGATGTTTTTGCAGTTTTTTGTTAGTAATTGTCATTGTTAATAATGTTGGACAGCAAATCTGGTTAATAAGTAACAAAATAACAACTTTATGGTTGTGATTCATAGATTAAATATAACTTGCCTAATGGCTGGAGTCAGGTGATGAGTCAGAAGCAGTATTTCCTTATAATAATTAACTTATGTGCTTACTAATAGCACATAAGTGAATGTGTATACTGATGTACACCATTTGTATGGCAGTTCGCAAAGAGTTTGTCCTTGGCTCACTCCAGGTTTCTCTTCCCCCCCCCACAGGAGGACTCCATGAAAGATGACAGAGGAGGTGATTGTTGTAGCCAAGTGGGACTACACGGCCCAGCAGGACCAGGAACTTGACATCCGTAAAAATGAGCGTCTCTTCCTCCTGGACGACTCGAAGACCTGGTGGCGTGTCCGCAACGCCTCCAATCAAACGGGATATGTGCCATCAAACTACGTCGAGCGCAAGAACAGCCTGAAGAAAGGTTCACTTGTGAAGAACATCAAAGACACTCTGGGTAAGAGGAATTCAGTCACACGCTGCTTAGAAGTCAAAGGTTGCCTTGTGTGTACAAGTTGCTACTGCCAGGAGATTATTCTCAGTAAAAGCAGAAAATCTCTGCATCCTCTTTTCAATACTCTGTGCGCCGTGGTGGAGGAGATAAGATGCGGTGTTAAACAGATGTCTGTGTGTGTGCACTTGTGTTTGCTTGAATTCTCTCTCTCAAAAAAAGTAAAATGATTTCTTCACCATGTCTACCCCCTTGCTGGGAGCTGTTACTGTGCCCTGCAGGGATCTTGTTGAGTTGCCCATTGCTCTCAGCTGTCAGCACTCTTGTCTCTCAGTCCCCATTCGTGACTTGAATATATTAGACATTACATGTTGCCAGCCTGTCATAGCTGTCAGCCTGTGACAGGGATTGCAGAGAATATAGTATGGCTAAATGAATTAAATACATTTAACATTCACCATTTAAGCACCCTGATCAAAAATAGAGGTTTTCTTTGTAATAGCCAATTATAAAAACAATATGGATGAAAGACAGCAAAGTTTGTCTGTTAGCATCAAGTTTGACAAACTTTTAAAAGAAAAATAAGTGTAATTCTTTTATGTGCTTGCCTGTCTTGCAATCAAGACATCAACAGAGATATAGTAGAGTTTACATGTGACCTCATGCATAATACAGCAGCTTAAAGTGGCATAGACTGAATATGTGGCACACAGGGCTTTCACACGTGCCGGAGAGCATTGACTTTAACTTTTTGTACAGTAGCGCATGTTGGTATTTTCAGACATTCCTAAATTAACGGTGAGCTCCTTAGTGCGGCTGCACAGTGGAATCTATTTCTGAGCTTTCAGCTACGGCTCCAAAATATGATCTGTGATGGCTGTCAGGCATCCTGGTATTTGTTTAATTCATTATAACTCGTAGCAAGACAAATAGTCTCACAGTGGGGTCCTGTTAGAACACGCGCTAGTCGAATACTTGATATCTGAGTTATTTTTACATATTTCTTTTGGACTTTAGGAGTAGGGTGACAAAATGATTGGAGAGAAGTTGCCCCCCGGAGTACAAATGCCACAGAGGTGACCACCGAGAAAAATAGCCTTCACAAATGAGATGGCCGATCGCTTACAGATTTGTGGTGTGTCCTGGTAAACAGCCGACATCAAGAAATAAGCCTGCTCTTGTTTTTTTTTTGTAGCAGGAAAAGAGCCGGAGGCAGAGCAACACTGAAATTCATCTGTTTTGACACTTTTAGTATGACATACCTTTTTTTGTGAAGAAGAGACTGATATGGTGAGAAGGGGAAAAAATAGAAATGCCTGCTGTTAAATTTTAACGGGGGGATGATCAAGATGCGCAACTGGAATAAAAATAGTAACTGTGTGGCCCTGAAAGGCACCCATATTTAGATTTGAGGGGAGGACAGTGAAGTGGAGAATAGAGAAAGAGCTAAAAGGAGTCTAGCCTAATGCTCTGATTACTCTCAGCTCTGTGGCTACCAGCCCTCGGGGAAACTCTGTAGCCTCATGTGGGCTAGCGTGGCACAGCCTGCCACTGTCACCCTCATAAGAGTTCACTGTGTACAGAGACAATAGCATCCCCTCACTCACTCCCCCACCTCAGTATTGTTCCCATCAGCTCTTTTCTCCGTCACTGTAGGTCTCTGCTTTTCTATGATCAGTGGTTTAATTAGTGGAGAAATCAACCGCCTAATGGTTGTGCGAGAATGATGGATTACCTCTCTGTCCCCTGACTAAGTTACATATCGACTACATCATTATGGCCTAGTTCCATTTCAGTCTAAGTAGCGTGCTTCCAGCTAGTAGCTCTTTAGTGTTAAAAGCCAGAGAAAATTCAATAGGCGAGTACGCTGTCATGATGAAGTGATGAGCAATAGGTGAGGTCAGCCGCTAATGGAACTTACACACTGAAATGGAGAATCTGATTGGCTGGGAGCTTGATTATTTCATCCTCTCAGCAGCCTGGCCTTTTTCTTCTATTTTTCATCTCTTCAGTCAGTCCATTGTGTTTATGCAGCATGTTGGTAGTCTATAATTATTGTTATCTTCAGCTTTTCCTTTTCATTTTCTGTGCTTTAATGTGGCTGTATCATCAACATCACTCGAGGCAAAATTGAACTCTAAATGGCTGCGTGCTGCCTTGTGCCCCACTTTGCTCTCCCAGGAAATAAAAACAGTAATGACTGAAAGAATTCAGCTAAAGTCCTACTTAATCCTGAAACTGGGCCAGTACTCAATGTGCAACATATTGAAAAGTTAGATTTCCGTCCACCTGTTGGTTTTTTTTTTTGTTGTTGTTATTGTTGTTGTCTGTTTGTTTGTTTGTACTGCTGCGATCAGTGAGTGATGGTGCGTGGGTGAATATGGAGCTGTGCAAAACACTTCTTCCTGTCTCAGGTTAAAAAGCGGCATACCCATGGCCCATTTCACTTAACACTTTTTAATAAACATGGTCATTGTCAGTGCTAGGTTAAATAGACCTGTGTCCTGCTTAAACTATACAAGCTTCAAAAGAATGTGCAGTCATTTCAAGCACACTTTATTAGTCCTCTAGGTCTTGGGTTCTAGCAACTTCTGATCACCCATCTTTTTTAACACAACAGAGTAGGGCTGTTCGATATAATGATATATATCGAATGATGATATAAAAATGTCTATTGTTTCCTATTACGCTACCGTTTGTTTTGTGGTGTTGTGAAATAAACTAAGCAATGTTTTTTCATCGTTTTGATTGTCACTGTAGTGGCTATATTAATTTCTTAAAGTTCTCTCTTTCTCTTATATTTAATAGAACCACACTACGGATGGACAAGAGCCTGTTTTTACGTGTTGTCGTTAGCAACAATGATGGTAAAACCATCACGTGGCTCCGCTGTCCGCTTGTTTGTTTTCCCACGTAAACCTTTCACAATAAAGCTCAAGATCCTTTTGAGACTTTTCAAAATAAACCGAATCACGTGAAAGAGTATGCAGAGAGTTTACGGATGAGAAGCAAAAAAGAGCCGTCAGGTGCTAAACAATAAACCTTAGACTCAAACGTTGAAAGAAAATGGTGGCCGTTACAACTTATGTCTAAAAATGTATAGTTTCATTCATGGACTCCAGGTAAAGGACACCCAGCTGGAAACACTTCACGCAAGTCGAGCTGCCCGAGATTCACAGAATTTACAGAAAATGTTACATTTTTGTGATTTATATCGTTGTCAGGACAATAAATGTCTTATATCGGGATATGAGATTTTTGTCATATTGCACATCCCTACAACAGAGTCAGATTACCAGCAACTATACTGAATATGTTTTATATGATCTGTAATAGAAGTAGACTTTCAGCAGAACAAAAAATGAATTTTTTAAAATATGAAAGTAATCCAGTTATATTTGTATGCTAATAGATTTATGGGCACAGTACAAATATAAACTGCTAATGGCCAATTGGGCAATACCACACACAAAATGTAAACAAGTGTATGATAAAAGGGGGCTTTTATCATACACTTTTAGCAACCTCATTTGTCTCCTTTGAGCCTTTTGGCAGGTTATGCTGGTGTTAACACACAGTAATGCATTAAGATCCCCATGGCTCACTAGTGGTATACTGGTGTCCATAGCTGCTTCCCATGGCACTCATATCAACAGAGCAACGCTGCTATTAAAAAAAAAAAAAACACACACACACACACGCATTGCTCACATGTGATTCACTTCAACTACTCCTAAATCATACCACTCGATGAGTCAGTGCCAATACTTTCCTCCAGGACCAGGTATTGCTTTTTGATTGTTGCACAGACTTGCTGCTGGGCAATGTTGGATTTTGTGGACTTATTTATTACAGTAACTTTCCCCTCAACTGTCCTCAACTCTAAGTTATAGAGTGAAGCAATATGCTGCAACATGCAGACACTGAGGCTTTCATCAACTCACTTCCCTCTGAGTTGAAGTCCTCTGGGCTTGAAAATCGAGTCTTCTTTCAGAAGATGAAGAGGTAGGTGAACTTTGGAGTGAATGTGTGGGAGGAGAGAATAAAGCCTGCTGCTGCTCAAACCAGTAGGCCAGTGCCTTGAAGTGGAAATGACTAGGGGGGAAAAATGTGCACCTGAGAGGTATGTGTACCTATCTAGGATAGGTACCATTGCTTTCTATCATTCAGTTATAGGTCACTTGTACATTAATGTTCCTAATGACTTAATAGAGACCCCTGACCGTGATCAGTTTTTCACGCATGTGCTCAAGAGTTCTTGGTGTGTGGCAACAAGCATTGCCAGAATCAACTTTTTAGTTCACTGAGCTGTTATTACAAAACACACAGAGAAAAATCTATACAGTGTCGATAGACATTGTTCACAACTGGGCTTTCTCACACATGGTGCTCAGCAGGGTATAGTCGGACAGGTTCTTGGTACTGGAAGTACTCTGGTTTAGTTGGAGAAGCTGCCTGGTTAGAACATGCAGGAGGGAGGACACATGATGCCCACTCGTTTGCTCTGAATTAGACAATTGTTGCTGGTGTTCTTAAATGGGCACAGTTAGTGATTACTCGGGGATTGTACTAGAGATCTGTCAGGTTAAAGACCATTGGATGCCTATAGAAATACGGTGGTGCAGTGCATGTTTGAATGAGACTCTAGTCGATTGCCACCACAGCTTTTAACATAAAAGCAACATTTCCGCTAGGAAAGAAATTAACCCTGGCATCTTTGACTGGGCGCTACACTAGTGAGGTACAGACTGAACAGCTGAGCCGTTTTTGGCTTCGGTCCATATATGTACTTGAACGAGGGAGAAACACTGTAGAATTCATTTCCCACTTTATAGCGCGTATCAGTGTTAACTTGCCAAAGGATGATTTAGCCTCTTTGACAAGTAAACCCCCCACACACCCCCACCCCCATGCAGTCAGGTGTCTTTACTTTGGTGGTGTGTGTATGTCTGTGTGTTTAATTATCCGTAAAGGTTCACCTGAAATGGGCCCAAGAGTCTAGTAGTTGGATTGCAGTCACTGGATACAGAATATTCCCCCATACACTCATACACACACACAGCTATCAGATATATGCTATCCATAAACATGATCTGTTTGTTATTCCTGTCTCATCCCTCTTCTTTGCATTTTTGTCAGCTGTGGCCTCTGATGTGCCTGGTCTCCTGCATGTTTTGTGTATGTGTGTGTGTGGAACAGCTGCCAAGGGACCCCTTGTCTCTCTTCACTCCACTTCTTCTCTCCTCCCTCTCTCTGCCAACAAGTTTCATGGTACTCTGTGTGAACCCTGCAATTTTCAAAACAATGTAAATGTTCTATTCAGCAGTGACATTTCAGCTTGCTCTGTGGCACAAATGGGTGATTAGCTGTCAAGATGCTCACTTCACTCATTAGTGGCACACATGAGCATATGACACAAGCCTCAACTGTCAAGTAAATGGTATAAATGTTGTCAGCCGTGTGGCATATCATTATTATTTTAACATGAATTTGAGAAAAGAGGAGACCTCCTTGGTTATGTTCAGCTCAGAGACTTTAACTTGAGGTCTCACTGAAATGCACGCGCGTTTTTAAATACTTCTCTTTGAAAGTACATGAATGAAAAAGTCAGAGACAGGTAAGACAGGAGTTGACTTTGATCCTAGATATGCCTGTCATTATCAAGCCCATGGTGGCTGCTCCAGTTTTCATTCCCTGTCAGCACCAACTATTTTCAGCCTTTTGATTTAAATAGATGTGTGCACGGCCTGTAGATGATGTTGTCAGAATACCAAGCAGATAATGAGCTTTCATTTCAATCCTTATGAGTAGCGGGGGTGCTCGGTGTGAGTGGAGGAGTAGCTCTTTGTTAATTCTAATATCGCGAGTATCACTCTGCCCTTTACCTCTGAGGTTTCTCATAGCATATCCTGTATCTAAAGTATTTTTTGCACTTGAAATGCTTCAAACAGCCCATGAGTACAACTTGCAACCTCAATTAGTTTTCTTGTGACTGTAACTGCCTCCTTTCCCCTAGCAGCCGAGGCCATTCTGACTATTGCTTACTTCCAGTTATCTACTTCAGGTTATTGCAACTTTCATTACTGCTCGTATACAAGAACTGATTAGTGTTTAGTTATTTCTTACAAGATTAAGGGAACATATTATGCAAAATTCAGTTTTTGATTGCTTATGAACATCCCTCCAGTGAGTCTGAAGACCCACAAAATGTGAGATGATCAAGAAGCTTCATCCTTCCAGCAGTTTTGGTTCATTTTTGATGCCATTTCCCACAACAACAGAAATATCTCTATATGTTTAGTGTTGGTACAATATGGGGCCCATATGTATGAACGTCAGAACTACTAAACTGTAATTCAGTGAAAGACTTGACGACTGATTTAATACAGATTTTTGCAAATTTTGTGATTCAGTGCAATTTATTATCAGCCTTTTTGTCAGTTAGTTGCATCTGTTGGCTCATCTGCTACTATCTACCGGTAATTTCATATACACTTTATTTTACGACAGGAGAAATCCCAGAAAAGCTGTTCTCATTTACCCATGTTTGTATTATCATATAGCTGAAGGAGTTTTAAATAACAGAAGTACGGCCCATGTTAAGCAGCAGTCAAAACAGCTGTTTCCAAGGTGCTGCTCTGCTCTATAAAAATACATTTTTGTAGCCACTCTGACAAAATCACCATACCCACATGTTAACGACAACGGCTGCCGTCATTCCAGCAGTGTTTACATTACTGTGCAAAAATCCTGAGCTCCCCTCATTTCTTTATGTGGCTTCCAAGCAACCAGATTTTATTCTACTTTAAATGTAGTCTTGAGGAATGCTTCTCCAGGCTTTCTGAAGGTCTTTCAATGTTTTTTGCACAGTGGCTGCTTTTTAGTTCGTTTTCAGTCCAATCCTAGTACCTGACCATTTTCACAGGAATGTTTTTTTTGTTGCTGTTTTGCAGTTTGCTGCTGTTTTTATTAAGCAACTTAACATTCACCTATGAGTCACTGAAGCAGAAAAAGGCACCTGCCTCAAGGGATGAACCATTGTTGTGTCATAATAGTATAGCAAGGAACTAATTTTTACCTTAGGCGGTCTGTTAATAGCACCCTGTCACAAAAACACATAATGTGTTCCCATTTCTTTAGTTGAATATATGAAAAATGCCAAAGACGGCAGTTTTACAAAGTGCCTTGAGGCAACTGTTATGTGATTTGACACTGTACGAATAAAATTGAATTGAAAGAGCTTTAGCAGAAAACTAGGCATATCTCCAGAGTGTACTTATTTTTTTAATTTTTGAACTGGACAAGTGCAGGACAAAAGAAATGACAGCTGGGAACTATAAAAGACTGAGATAAATTGAAACTGCTACTGCAAAATTTCACAAGAACTGGAAAGAATTGAAATTTTTGGTGTAAATGATCATCCGTGTATACAGAGGAACTCAGGAGACATGTACAACGGAGTTTTTACAGGCATGACTCTGTCATGGTTTGAGGCTGCATTTCAGCCAGTGGTTTTCGGGATCTTGTCAAAATAGAAAAGTACCATCAGATTTTGATCCCCGTGCAATATCATCTATAATGTTTCTGATTGGCAACAACTTCATTTTTCAGCATGACAGTGATCCCAAACATGCTGCTGGTGGAGTAAAAATGTACCAAGCCTCCTCAGAGCCTGGACCTCAACACTGTTGAAGCAGTATGGAATCATCTCTACAGAGAATGGAATAAACGGACTTTCAAGCTGTTTAAAATTGTTTAAAAAAAAAAAAAGTTTTCACAGCACTATTCATATAAAAAGATCACAATGACTGAAAGCTTGAATGTATCAATTTTTTTCTTCTTTTTTTCTCCCCTCCATGCACTGCTTTGCATCTTTATCTATTGTTTGATTTGTTCTCTTTATTAGAATTTGTAACGACAAAATTTTAAAACTAAACTATTCAATGCTTCACAAAAGCCTTTTCATCCTAAAAATGATCACATCTTTATCTCTAAATGCAAGTTTGGATGCAGAATGGATTCTGCACCTTTGCAGATTAACTAGGTTATTAAGCTGGGCAGACATGGTTAAACACACTAAACCAACTAGGTGTATGTGAGAGGACCGTTTGTACAAATGAAGTGAAAGTATGACGCAAGTGAGAGAAGTCTGCCATGTTGACTCTTTACTGGAAAGTGGCATAGTCAACAATTTGGAACAAGTCTGACCAGGAAAGTACATGCAGAGTAGAATGAGCGATCTATCCAGTTATTTGAACTGACATGTATAAGACAAGCTATGGGGACATATGAGATTTGTTAACTAGCACCAGACAGACACAATTGGTGTCGACCTGGTAAGAAAAGTTGGGTATTGTGGAGACCAAATTATGATATGACTAATCTGGTAGAAATGTGGGGAAAAAATTGTGTGTTTGCTACCATCTGTGTAACGTTGCTCTTGTTTCTGTTTATGTGCACAGGTTTAGGAAAAACTAAGAGGAAGACGAGTGCCCGAGATGCTTCCCCAACACCAAGCTCAGACACAGAGTACCCCTCCAATGGCAGTGGGGGTGGAGGAGTTGGGGTAGGAGCACCAGAGAGAATCTATGACCTCAATATCCCTGCTACAGTTAAGTTTGCCTACACAGCAGAGAGGGATGATGAGCTGACCCTGGTGAAAGGCTCCAGAGTGATCGTGATGGAGAAGTGCAGTGACGGCTGGTGGCGGGGCAATCAGGCGGGGCGGGTAGGCTGGTTTCCCTCCAATTACGTCCAAGAGGAGCTCGGAGGGTCAGATGATAGAGGGGAGGGCGATTCCTCGCGGGGATACCTCGAAGCTTCTCAAGGAACTTTGTTGGCAAACGGGCGCACAGGTGGCCGTGGGGGAGTTCTTCACCTGGTTCAGACTCTCTACCCCTTCAACTCTGTGACAGAGGAGGAGCTAAACTTTGAGAAGGGAGAAGTCATGGAAGTGGTGGAGAAGCCCGAGAACGACCCAGAGTGGTGGAGGTGTAAAAACTCACGTGGCATGGTGGGCCTGGTACCTAAAAACTATGTGGCGATGCTGGACGAGCGGCCTGGCCCGCCCTCCTCTACGTCGAGCTCCCCACAGAACCGCCTCCTGGCACCGGCACGCTCAGGGAGGTTCGCTGGCAGGGACTGGTACTACGGCAACATCACCAGACACCAGGCTGAGTGCATACTCAACGAGAAAGGCGAAGAGGGTGACTTCCTCATACGAGACAGCGAGTCATCGGTGAGTCACTTGGGTGAAGTCATGATAGAGTAGTATTTTGGATACTGGGAGAAACTGACGATGAATCCTGGTAGGAAAAAAAAGAGCAGTTTGGAAATATAGTCCGCATGTTTCTCCATGTCAGGACCTGCGTTTAAGTATTTTAAAAGCTTAAAGACATGATGTATATGAAATCTTGACCTTTTTAGTAATCAGTCCTATTTAACACAAACATTAGACGCAACCTGATAAGCAATCACATGATTTTTCACATTCACATGCTTAGAGCAGAAGCAGCTGGTCGGAGACATATTTAACCTGAAACTGCTACAGTAATTACACTCTCAGTGAAAATAACTTCTAGCAAGGATTGTTGTGTTCTTTTTTTTCTTCATCCATCTTTTTAACTACTTAAAAGCTTAATTTGTAGAACTGTGTTAAATCTGTACAGAATATACCCTTTGCTGTTGCTTACACTAATAACAACAAAAGGCTTCTGGTCAAATCAAGTTTTTTCAGTGATGCGTTGCTGCTGAAGCTCATAATAATTACACTCCAGTACGTGCCATTTCATTAGTTACACCACGTTGGACCCCCTTTTGTCTTCAGAACTATCTTAAATCTTCTTGGCACAGATTCAACAAGGTGTTGAAATATTCTTCAGAGATTTTGGTCCACGTTGAAGTGATGGCGTCACACAGCTGCTGCAGATTTGCTAGCTGCATATGATGCGAAACTCTTCGTCCACATACAAAAGTTGATCTATTGGACTGAGATCTGATGACTGTGGACGGCATTTGATTACAGAGAGCCCACTGTCATGTTGTGATGATTTGAGACATGGTGCATTATCATGTAACCACATCTGAAGATGGTACACTGGGCTGTTCAAGGGATAGACATGGTCAGCAACAATGCTCAGCTGTTGATAAATGATCCTTAGTTACTACTAAGGAGTACAAAGTGTGCCAAGAAAATATCCCGCACAGTTACACCACCAGCCTGAATCATTGATACAAGGCAGAATGGATTCTGAGTTAAACTCTACCATCTGATTGTTGAAGCAGAAATAGGGACTTATTAAGACCAGGCAACAATTCCAGTGTTTCCAGTGTTCTGTTGTCCAATTCTGGTGAGCCCATGTGAGTGGCAGCCTCAGTTTCCTGTTCTTAGTTGACAGAAGTGGAACCAGATGTGGTCTTCAGCTGCTGTAGTACATCTCTTTCAAGGTTCAACGTACTGTGGATACAGAGATGCTCTTCTGCGCACCTAAGTTGTAACAAGTAGTTATTTAAGTTAATGTTCTCTTCCTGTCAGCTCCAAGCAGTCTGGCACTTCTCCTCTAACCTCTGAAATCAACAAGACGTTTTCACACAGAACTGCCACTTAGCAGATATTTTCTCCTTTTCAGTCCATTCTCTGTAAACATCAGAGGTGGCTGTGTAGTAAATCCCAGTAGATCATCAGTTTCTGAAATATTCAGACCAGCCTGTCTGGTGCCAATGACAGTGTCAGTTCAGTCACATGTTTAGTAGAGGTGGGAATCACCATACATCCCACGATACGATATTATCACAATACTTAACGCACGATACAATATTATTGCAATTTTTAAAAATATTTTGCGATATTCAGATTCTGTACATAAAGGTAAACTTTATCAATATTCATTTTATCTAATATCAAAGTCTCACACTCAGTCTTTCTCTCATTTCAGTCAGTTTTATTGTTGACAAACTGAACGGTTTGTATTACAGTCTAGTCCAACTTAACTGAATGCAACCATCTGGTACAATTATAGCTATTCTGAACTATGCAGCTCCTTCAGCAACTGAAGAATTTGAAAGTAAAATAAAACAAAATATAATTTTACATTAAATAAAAAAGTTTTAAACTTAATTAAAATAAAACATGTCTTAAATTAAAATAAGTAAACTGTCATGTTTATTGCTGCCAAAAAAAAGTTAAACACATTTGGACAGTGAAGGAATGTCAGGATTCTCGCTCAGAAAAAGGATCAACATGCTCTGAAGTCAGAGCACAAAAACCTTTTTTGTAACAAAATATCGATTTCTGCTGTCCCTGTATCGATACGTTATTAGCAAACAAAATATCACGATACTACACAGTATCGATTTTTTCCCCAACCCCTAATGTTTAGTCACCTTCCTTTCCCATTCTGGTTTTCAATTTGAACTTCAGAACGTCATCTTGACCACATCTACATGCCTGAATGCATTAAATTGCTGCCATATGATTGGCTGATTAGATATTTTTATTGACGAGCACCTGAACATGAATTTGCCAGCGAGTGTATGCTGGCATAGCCTGCACAGTGCTCTCTCCGTAACCACCATTTTTTGTGGTCCAGTGACATTGTATAACCTAATAAAGTACCTACAACACATAATATTGTTAACAAGCTTGTCTTGAAATATCTTCAGTTATGCAAGCACGGCTGAAAAGCTGCTGATTAAGGAAGGCATAAATCTGGTTTGGAGCAAAAGCCTTTGTGGCTTCATTACTGGCTGAAAATGGTTACAAACCAACAGCTTTGAAATGCATCTTTGTGTTATGAGGAATAAAGGCGATTCCATGCAGGACAGTTTATTAGATTAAAAAAAGTTTTTCTTTTTAATGAAAAGGACAATTCACGGTGACCGTTAAATTGAATTGTATATTATTTGTTGCTGTAGATCACCTCTGTCATTGCACTGCAGCCATCTGATGTCAGCTGTTATGAAGTGAATTTCTTCTTTTTTTTTATTTTAAGTGCATCTAAAAAAGATTAGGTTGTCTCTTGGTGCAGGGTTTCAGATTTCTTCAGCACGTTTTTGATGTCATAAATACAGCTTGCATGCGGTCACACTTTAAACTCGGATTTTAGGTAACCTCAGAAAAAACGTCCCACTTACAGCAGTGGAAATTGAAGCGTTAAGAGTAAAACTCTGCACGGACTGAACATCTAAGAAGAGCATTGACATGCATTAAAACACCTTTCTACGTGGGGTTGGATGGTATATGGGATTATTCATTTTATTTATTTATTTATTTTCCTCACGGAACACCAGAATTTCACATGTTGCAGTTGGATGAATGTAGTTCAAGCTCTTTAAGTTTAGGCGTATGCTGCCACCTGCTGGTTGTAACACAGTCTGCTTTTGAATTTAATTCCACATTTTTCCCCCAGTCATTCTCTCACATTTCTAACCGTAACAACTGTCTGCCTTTTTGTTTTTCAGCCCAGTGACTTCTCCGTGTCTCTGAAGGCGGTGGGTAAGAATAAGCACTTTAAAGTGCAGCTGTCAGACGGAGTGTACTGTATTGGCCAGCGCAGGTTTAACTCCATGGATGAACTTGTGGAGCATTACAAGAAAGCTCCCATCTTCACCAGCGAACATGGGGAGAAGCTGTACCTGGTCAAAGCGCTGCTGTGATTTACACACCCTCACACCTACACTGGATGCTCATACACACACACACACACACACACACACACATGCACTCTCATACACCAAACACTAATGCCACTCCCCGACTGTCTTAACTCAAGCCTTAGCTCGGGACCCTCTTGCTGTGGCGTCTGTACCACGTCTAGATCCTCTCTCGCACCTCCGCGTCTTATCTGTGCTAGCAGTGAGCAGGTGAAACTTTCTCTAGCTCTCCAACCGAGCCGTTAACCTGAAGACAGCCAGCACTGTGTCAGCAAATATCTGCATCCTTCATTTACAACACCATGCCAAAAGAATTAAATACGAGAAAAAAGGAAAAAACAAAACAGCCTCTCAATCTAAGATGTGCAAACTGCAGTGACCAAATCTGCTGCTAACAGAACGCCTGAAGCCTTGTTGGGTGTTGAGCTCTCCTTCTGATGTCATACATAATGTCCATTTACTAGCACGCACATTGTAAGTTACACCATTGCTCTTAATCCACACAGGAGAACAGACATTTAAGAGTTCAGAGAGAACTCAGACCTCTGTGGGACCTAACTCTGGTGTTGTCCTGTCGAATCGCTGGCCATTGTTTTATTTTCTTCACTTTTTTTTTTCTTTTTAAGAAATGCTTGTTACAGAGTTGATGCTTTTTTTTTTTTTTTTGTCTCTTTTTAAAAAATAGTTAAATTAATTTCCTCTCTGGAGGTTTAAACTGTTGCTTCTTCATTCAGTGACTTCACAAAGTGACCAGAATCACTCTCTTGCCTTTTGCCCTTTGTCTCAGAGTTTTCACCATTCCTCATTTTCTCCTCATTTAAATTTCTCCTTTTTTTTTGTTTAACTTAAATCCCTCCTTGTTTCCATCTTCACAGACCCCATCGTTAGTTTGTAGTACTTAAAATCTGGATACAGCACTTCCTAAAAGCAGTCTAGGTGGGAGCACTAATGCAATAGTGGAGACTTCTGATTTCCTGTAGAGTTTAAATGTTTTATTTGTGTAACCAAATGTGCCACCTTGTACCCATTACTACTGGCTCCAGGGCTGCACTGCACTCGCCATAGTACGCCAGTCGTTCATAACTCTGTGCTCATGCTTTATAGTGTCACGCTGGACATGTTACTGTTCTCCAGTATTTCACGATACTGACTGAAGAATAATAAAAAGCTTTTTTCTGCTAACCTGAGTAATTCCACTTGATCTGCTCCAGCGCCTGCCCATGGAAATAAAATACCTTCTCACATCTGACCGATGAGAACATTGGAAGGGATATTATACCAAAAAAGTCTTTAAAAAGGAAAAATGGTAAAGTTATTACCTGAGACCCTGTTTCAGAGTATTTAGGAAATGATATACTGCCTTTACAAATCACAAAATCTTTCTTTTATTAACAAATGAATCACAAAATGACTTGGAGTAGTCCAGTTTTACTGAACATATGACAGGTCTGAAGCCTGGCCTCTTTGAATCTAGCAAAAAAGAAAAATTGAGCAAAGTTGTCTTTATAAAAGTAAAATGAACACTAATAATCCACCCTGAAATCGGGATTGTCTGCCTTTAGCATGGCCAGCTAAACAGTTCGTGACACTTCAGGTAGAAGTGAAATCAAAGATAATTGTTTCTGGGTAAATATAGAGATGCCATTGTACCCTTGATGTGTGTTGTGCATGTCTAACAGGTGTAGGAACAGTAACAGAGTGGATGGAGCAGGGCTTAGGTTTCTGTCTCTTTATATACACATATATAAAAAAAAATTCATCTTTCACTGTCAAGAAACCAAATACATTCTCATCTTAGCTGAAAGTTATAACCTTAGTCCCGCCACGCATTTTCCTCTTGTTTTCGTTTGCTATGTGCATTTGTTTACCAATGGAAGTGTTGATCATGGGGTCCTCAGCTTTTATATGATATATCTGAATGTTATTGAGCATTGTTATTTAATTCTTGTCTCCACTGTATGTATATATTCAAAATAAGAAGAGGTGCATATATGAATCATTAAGATCCAACTATGGTACTGTATCACCGACAACGTGATGAGAATTGAGATACTTTTGTTCAATAAAATTTTTTGAAGAATACTAAATTACGTGTGATCGGTTACTGTCTCAGTGATTACTTTGAAAGGTTAATGCCAGCATGGTGTTGCCGTTCTGCTCTGAGAGAGAGAGGCTTTCTCATTTTCTAATGCGATCAAATTAACGGTGATATGAGACTCCTGTTAAATTCCTTCTCTGCTGATTTCATTGCTGTCTGATTAATTATCAGACAGCAATGAAATCAAGGCCCTGAGGTTTCAGAGCATTTGCAAATAATTTCCCCCACCGTGCTTCATAGCTTGGCTGAGTTCAACTTTTGTCTCAGTATTGTCCTGGGATTGTTTTGGTGTTTAAACTACATGAAAGCAACTTTAAGCAAGATGTGGAGAAGATGAAGATTTTAAAGATGTTTTTCTATCATCCTTGGGTCTTAAAACCACTTCAGGATTGTACTTTATGCTCCTCTGTGTTCTTTTTAACACATCTGCTTTTAATAAACCTGACTGCACAGGTCTGAAAAATGAAAATCACTTCAGGATTATTAATTCTAATTCTTTTTTTTTTTTTTTTTAAATATGAGCGTTTCCTTTTTTATTTCGCACATTTCTTTAAGGGAATCTAACGGGGTTTACCACTGTATACAAGCCCATTCAGCCATTTAAAGTCCCCCCAGGCCTCTTGAATCCCGTCTGCCAAATAGCTAACCCCTACAAACGTCAGCTGGTGTAACCAGAATCGTTCTGATGATTGAGGTCACCCTCGCAAGGTGTTTGTGTCTGAGTCAGTCACAATTAAACCGCCATCTGCCTCAGCTTTGACAGGACCAAGCTGCCAGTTGGGATTTCATATCTTTATGTGAGAGTGATGACTGCAGCATGTCAACGTACCTTAAACTGCACCGGGGTTTATCTGGATTGGCTCTCTAGTCTCACATTTTTAATGGAGATCGAGTACACAGTCTTTTGGGCCAGCTGTTATTTACAAAGCAGTGTCCAAGTGGAAAGATGAGACAGAGCTGTAAAAGTTATTTTATTATTATTATTATTATTATTATTATTAATAATAATAATAATAATAATAATTGAAAACGTCGGAAAAAATGTGGGCCGCAGTATGCAGAATTCCCCACATGGTGGCAGTATTGGGCTCTTTCGATTGTCACCTGAACTGTTCACCTGAGCAGCAGGATTATGTGTTTGGTTGTTCTGGCAACTCACACTGCCTGGAGTCTTTAATCTGAATGAATTAAACTAAAGCTGAATGTCAGCAATTTCATTGATTTTCATTCAGCCTCTTTCAAAATTCGTCTTCAATAATAATGCAGGGTTAACTGGCCAAAGGATAAACTGGTGAACAGGGGAGCACACGTGAATGGTTATCTAAAATTAGTGTACTTGATTTAAAAGGAAAGTGAGCTCAAAGCAACCAAAGGCTCAGCAGGGAGAGGCATCATTACTGACTGACTGCTGTAGTTTAGAGTAATTCAAATCCAATTATCACAGTCACTTATTTTGGTATTGTTCTTATTTTGTAGTGTTCGTAGCAGCTGAGTCGACTCCCCGTCTCTAGTGGAAAAACAGAAACATTAAATTAATGAAGACGTTTGTGTTTCTTAGCTCCACAGCATGTTTATACCCCACTGACACAAAGACAATCAGAGTTGTTGTTTGAAAGCAGAGTTGTGGCCATCAGTGTGCGGCACCGACAACTGAGAGAAGGGGCCACAACACAAACGGGGGATCACTAAATATGTGATTAAACAATATTTCAATATTGAGGTACGGCTTATCCAGCAGAGAGCACAAATGCATTTCTCCATTTCCTGATTTATTGTTTTCTTATTCGTCTCACATGTTTCAGTTCATCAAACCAACTCTAATATTTGACAAAGATAACCTGAGAAGATACAAAATGCAGTTTTTAGATCATGATTTATTATTAAGGTGAAATGCTTATCCAAACTTACCTGGCGCTGTGAAAAAGTAATTGCCTCCTAAACCTTTTAACTGATTGTGCCACCCTTGGCTGAAAGCATTTTGGATAACTGGAGTCTTTCCTGTCACTGTTGAGGAATTTTGGCCCACAGAATTGTTTGAATTCAGCTATGCTGGAGGGTTTTGAAGCGTGGCCTGTATGACGTCATCCCAAAGCATCTCAATGTAAATCCAGACTTTGACCAGGCCTCTGCACAAACTTTATTTTGTGTTTTGAGCCATTCAGAAGTGGACTTGGTGGTGTGTCCTGGATCATCGTCCCAATGTAGAACCCAAGTCCAGCAACGCAGCCTCAGACCATCACACAACCACCATCATGCTTGATTGTTGGCGTGATCTTTTATTATTTGCTATGTTAGTTTTACAGCAAATGTAATGAGACTCAAACCTTCCGAAAAGTTCTGCTTTTGTATCGGCAGTCCACAAAGTATTTTCCTAAAAGTCATCAAGATGGGTTTTTTTGGCAAATGTGAGACGAGCCTTTGTGTTCCTTTTGGCCAGCAGTGGTTTTCTCCTTGAACTCTCTCATGGATGCCATTTTTACCCAGTCTCTTTCTTATTGCTGAATCATGAAATCTGGCCTTAACTGCGACATGAGAGACCTGCAGCTCCTTAGATGTTGTTTTAGGGTCTTTTGTAACCTCCTGGATGAGTCATTGATGTGCTTTTGGAGTCATTTTGATAGACCAGTCCCCCGTGGGAAGGTTCACCACTGTTCCCACTTTCCTCCATTTATAGATAATGGCTCTCACTGTGGCTCTCAAAGCCTTAGTGATGACTGTGTAATGCTTTCCAGATTAATCGGTGTCAGTGACTTTGTCAGCTTTTTCTTTAGTTTGTGGTATGTGTTGATTTTTAAGATCGTTTAGCCTCCTTCACTTTGTCAGGTTTCATTTAAGTGATATGTTGTGCCAATGAAACTGAACTCAGCTTTGTGAAAAAAATGTTGTTAATCACCTCAATGACATCAATCAATTCATAATTTAACAAGGGGTAATTACTTTTTCACACAGGCGAGATGGGTATGAAAGCTGTTCTCCTTTAAGAACTGAAATCATTTAAAAATTGCGTTTTGCGTTTACTCAGGTTGTCTTTGACACAGGCGCAAAAATCTAAGCGATCCAGAAGGACACAAATGCTTTTTCATAGCACTGCGTTCACACCAATCCTATCTACCCTGCCCTCCCCTTCCTCATGATCTTTGATGTGCAAGTCTATAATCTGCCTCATGCTTATCCACACCTCTCTTGATGTTGTTTTGCTTTAATTTATTTGCCAGCTCGTCTGTGGGAGTCCTTGCACTCCCCGTGTCTCACCTTAAGGTCAAACTGTACCCTTTTCAGCTTGTTCTTGTCACCAAACCTCTCCTCTTAGTTATTTATTTATTTATTTATTTATTTATCCATCAGCAGATACTTGTCTGTAGGTCATTTTCTTTTAGAAAAACAGCCATCCTGGTTGTGACAGTGGTATCCTCTTAAAAACTGTCACGCACTCAATAATGTTATTTATATCACCCCCATGTGGCCTGCACAACTAACTCTGTTGTTTCAAAATAGGCCACCTGGTCGACCTCTTCAAGATGAAGCCGAAGTTTAATTTAACATTGGTAGACAAATGATCCAGTGATCTGCTTTCCCACATAGTGCTGTCAACATGCTGGGGGAGGAAACCAAAACAACACATGGCGTTTTATACTGTAAAGTAAATACACTAGAATATAGAAAGAAACCTCCATAATCATATGACACCCATGAGCAAGCACTTGGCGACAGTAGGAAGTAAAAATTTCCCTTTAACAGGAAGAAACCTCCAGCAGAACCAGGCTCAGGGTGGAATGGCTGCCCGCCATGAGCAGATGTGGAGAGTGGTGATGCATAAACACAGAGAGAGTGAAAAGAGATGAGTGAAGAAGAAACCCTCAATTCATTATGGAAAGCCTCAAAGCAGTCAGAGTATATCAGTGTAAAATAAGATTTATCAAATCGTAAAAGTGGAGAGGATGTCTGTTTAACAGAGAAAGAAGTGCTCTGTTGGGATTATATGCTACTGTGAGATCTTTAAAATATGACAGGGTCTGATTATTCAAGACTTTTTATGTGAGGAGAAGGATTTTAAATTCAATTCTGGATTTAAAGGGAGCCAATGAAGAGAAGCCAGTGTGGGAGAAATGTTCTCTCTTTCTAGTCCCTGTCGGTACGCTCGCTGCAGGGGTTTGGATCAGCTGAAGGCTTCTCAGTGAAAATGCTTTAACTGGTTTTTCAACATCAATCTGAGACGGGATATTTACAGTTTTAAAGATACCGTGCATATTAATGAAGGTAATCTCATGTATGTGTTTATTATTCACAGTGAAGGAAACATCCTGGTCAAAACCAACCAAGATTTCTCACAGTGTTACTGAAGGTCAAGATAATGTCATGCAGAGTTCAATAACCTCAGTTTTGTCTGAATATATTAGTTTAAAATGAGAGATAATCAATGCATTTATCATCATAAAGACGTACAAGTAGGTTAACTTAACTGACTGTATTATCTGGCCTCATATGTAAATATAGTTGAACAACTAAGTATTAATATCGTTCAGTTCAGTATTTAGCCCAAACAATTGTGTTAAATGAAAATATACCTCAGGCATGTATTATTAAAATTGAACTTTTTTGTGTTGACTGTTACATTCAGATTTTGTTTTACAACCTGTAGCACGTTTAAACAACAGAAGCTGACCCAAAGTGCTTTAAAGCTGGGCACATTTATATTCCAGCTCTCCAAAAACAATAAAAACCCAGTTTCAAAATACATGAAAAACTAAAATGTGTATTTTCTAATGACTCATTATTGAGGAAAGTAAAAGTCACATGATTTAGCATTAAAATGTGTTGAGAATTTGCAGTTTAACAATGATCCATTGGCTCATCAGCCCTGCACATAACTGTGATTATAAACATTCCTTTCAGTCAAATTCAGCCTATTTAAACCCCCCAAAATGTCAAAAAGTTTTCACGCAAACAGAAACCTTAAAATACTTTGCAGCATAACAAAAAGTTTTTTAAAGAGATAAGCTATGGTGTTTTGCCAGGAGAGCAAGCAGTGTGAACCAACTCAATCTGTCCAGATTCCAACAAGGAGAAAGATTTCTCTTATCAAAAACTAGAGCTCAAAATGTTTGCTTTGTTCGGATCCTGGATAAGCCCCACAGTTGTTACCACCTGGTTAAAAACTGGAAACAAAAATGCGAAGTGACACAAGGGTACGTTGGTGCGGTAAACGTTTGCAGTTCCCATGGAGTGATCGTGTGGAGTAATGAATGCTGGGTAACACAAAAAGACAAATGAGACGGCTGTAGGAGAAAAAAAATAGGTCTTTTACACTTGTGGAAGCACAGATGTTGCAGGTAGGAAAACGGATTAATCCAGTGTTAAAAATAATAAATATAAGAAATATTTAAAAAGAGGATGCGTGATGCTGTCAGAGTTTCAAAATGAAGAAAAACCTGCTTGGAGTCAATTTTTACAATTCAGAAATGAAAAATGATACATAGAATCTGTTCAACACTTTTTCCTGTGTACCCAAAGAAAAGGCTTCAGAATCATTTCTATAGACCAGGGTGTTCACAACACAACAAACAAAGTAGTGGGCAAAGATCACACCAAGAGCTGAGACTGTCAGAGGTGAGAAAGAACCCAAGGGCAACCCACAAAACACCTGTTACAGTGGATAAAAACATGCGACATGACTCATCTGTTTCTCCCCTCTGTATTTTTGTAGGGTCTTTACCATATAAAGCACCTTGAGGCGACTGTTGTTGTGATTTGGTGCTATATAAATAAAATGTAATCGAACTGAATCTGGTTGGATTCTCATTATATTGTCATATAAAAGTTGCTGAGCAATTATATCATCCTGCAGCAGCATCTATGTCACTATTTGTGGGGAAATTTCTGTTTAAAAAATCTCTCAGATTTTGTCGTTACTTTGAATATAATTAGAATATAATTAGGTTACAAGCCGCCATCTAGCTGGCTTATTTCTGTGTAGAGTTTGCATGTTTGCCTCGTGTCTGCATGCTTCCTCCCACAGTCCAAAGACGTGCAGTTAGCAAGGTTAGGGAAGCTGGAGTGATGGATGGATGGCAGCAGGTTCACAGTTTCTGTCTTTTATCACAGTTAATCGAGACAGCATCCCAATCAGATTACATGCAATTGCCAGCTCGGCTGCATTCAGCTCCTGTCGTTGATTTTGTGTCATCTTGATTCACCAAAGTCGTTTTAAAGATGCCGACTGACTTCAAGTCTTCAAACTCGTCTTTGCTTTTAAAATAATTGCTTGGAAGACAATGAGACTGCAAACTCGTTGCACGTTTTCACAATAATTTTATAATCCAACCAAGTGTGACTGCAGAAAAAAGCTTTATTAAAGGTTGCTCATAATAAACCTTCAGTTTCTAACAGAAATTTAATTAAGCTTGTGGTAATTACAATTTACTGCTCCGCTCGCTGTCATTTTTTTAAATTTAGTGGTGTTTCCGTGGTTAAACAAAGGTTAGATAAAACCATTATTCATTCAGGCTTTCATCCTTTGGGAGTTAACTGAGCCTGTTTAAAAAGTAAAACTACATGCCTGAGGTACCTTTAAAGATTTAAGTCTTCAGCTGGAGCCGGGGGCAGAAAGGAGAGGTGCAGGGAAGTCAGAAAGTTTCGAGAGCTATTGTTTGTTTTGGTCTTTTCACCGGATTTGCTCTCAGTAAGTCAATAACATTCACTCATCCTCTAAAGATCACTTGAAGTTTTGTGCAGCGTCTTCTCTATCAGAGCGCTGCTCCTCTGATCCACGGCGTGGATTCAGTCATGAATGAATGAAGCAGATTTAACAGGGGAGAAGAAGACTTGAGGGTGCAAAACCTGCCAACTGACTTTATGCCCTTTGGCTCAACGCTGGTGTAGACTGTCTGAATAGCAGGTGTGAAAACCACCTGGTGTGTGTGTGTGTGTGTGTGTGTGTGTGTGTGTGTGTGTGTGTGTGTGTGTGTGTGTCTTTTTTTAATGTGCTTTCATTCCTCTCCTCTCGCTGCTTTTCTCACTTCTTTTTGACTTGAAAGAAAATCAAGGCCACAGATGTCACACTTAACTGCTGATGGTTGTGACAGTCTGGTTATATTACAGTCATTCATTCTTTAATCGGCTCCATCAGATATTAGAACATCCTCATCCAAATCTATAATTACTAATGTTTTCTTGACAGTCCCGTTTACACAGGAATCTTTTACCCATCCGACATTAGAGGATTTTGGCAAAGGACCATGAGAGGTAAGAAGGGAGGCCAAATGTGAAAAACAAACGTGTCCGCCTTTTTCTCACCTTTAAACCGAGATGCAGTCATCGTGCTCAGATCAGTCTGAGGAAGAAGGACAGAGGACAGGACTAAAGCTGAATTCTCTGCTGGTCAGGTAAGACAACATGGATCCACACACGACAACATTTCTCTTCTTTATAGACACGCGCAGTCGGCTGTGATGTGAATATTTCTTAAACAATATGCAATAATCCCGTGGAAATTGTACCTGCTTTTGAGATGGCATTCATGAGACGTCTTTTGTGTTTTGTCTCTCAGCATGCATGCTCCGAACGTGTCAGCGCTGCTCTTTCTTCTGCTGCTGAGCTTCCTGCCTCCTGCAGGTGTGTCTGCAGCTCGTATAATGCATTACACATCAGTGGACCTGCTATTGTGACTCGTAGATATTCTGAGATGAGAGACGAGGTGTGAAATGTGCGCTCACACTGCCGTCTGCTTTCAGAGGGGAGCGAGGCGGCTGGCAGGAGGGAGGAGAGGGAGAAGCGAAGCGTGCCGTACTGGGGCCTGTGGTCATCTGACTTTTTCGGATGGTTGGAGGAGCTGCGAGCCCAGGCGGCCGATAATGGGATGCTGGACTTGGCTCGCACCTTCTGGGCTCACTTCCCCATCAGCAGCGAGCTGGGCTATGACCGTCCCGAGCCTGAGACTGAGGCTGAGGAGTGAGATGAAGGGTACAGATGGAAAACTGAAAGATGTTAGTACAGGAAGAAGTTACCTGTATTACTTGTTTAGATGTTTACTGGAAAAAATCATCACATATGATGATAATCATTGTTATTAGAGTTTCTTACATGCTTTAAACATTGCAAAAAAACCAAAACAATGTCAATATGCATTTTATCTAAACATGTTTACAGCAGGGAGATATAATGTGGAATTAAATAAGTAGATATAAACTTGGAGCATCTTACTTTAGCTTCTTTACTCTGTCTGTATTACACTGGCACATGGTCGAGGTTATCCCACCTCTTGCTCACTGACACCTGGGATACGCTGCAGTCATTAAAAATAAAGCACAAAGAGTGAAATAAATTTAGAGCAAATTGCAGCAGCACAGCTTTGTTTGTGCTTCCTTCTCTTCCCATTTGTGCCGTGGAGTAAATCATTCAAACTGTATGTAAAGTACCTGAAAACCAAATCACTCCAATAACATCACATTATCAGTCACAGGAACTATTTTAGTGCTAAATGAGCACTTTTACTTTTTGCTGGTTTGAGTATATTTTGTACGTGCTGACAGTTTAGCTCAGTAAATGCAAAAACACAGTGAGAGGTGGAGACTGCTGACTGTGCAGTTGCTTCACTCCAACAGAGCACCTCTGGGGTGTCGTGGAACAGGAGACTCACACTGTGGAAGTGTAAGGATGCGACGCTGTCATGAGATCGAAGTCTCCGAGGAATGTTTGCAGCACCTTGCTCTGTGTTTTGAATCTGTGCCATGAAGAATCATGAAGGCAAAATGGATGCAAGTCCTGCGAAAACCTAAATATGCTCCATAATTCAGTAGCTTGCAGAACCAGCTTTAGCAACAGTAATTTGAAATAACTGTTTCCTGTGTGAGTTTATCAGTCTCTCCCATTGCTGAGGAATTTTGGCCCAGTTTTCTTTAAAAGGTTCATTGAGGTTTGCAGGCATTCATTTATCCACAGCTCTGCTAAGTCCTACCGCAGCACATCAGTCATGTAGAGGTCTGTGCTTTGGCTTGGCCATTGAAACATGTTGATCCTTTTCTTTTTCTGCCATTCTTTTGTAGATTTGCTCCTGTGCCTGGATTTTCCTGTTGCATGAACCCGTTTCAGCCAAGCTTTAGCTGTTAAACAAATGGATTCGCATTTGACTCTAGAATACTTTGAGTACAGAGGGATTCATAGTTGAGTCAATGACTGCAAGGTGCCCAGGTCCTGTGCCTGCAAAACATGTAACAATCACCACAGTAACCACCGCTGTGGTACCAAATTCAGCAGGTGGCTGCATTTGCCAGACTTGTTCAATCTGTTTCTAATCGCACCGTCTGAACTTCACTCTAGCTGAGACCTGTAGAGTCTTGACACGTCGCTCTCTCTTCTCTTCTTTAAGATCATTGCTCACGTTTTTCCTCTTTGGTGTTGTGTTCATGCACACCTGAAGGCTCACAACCAACAAACTGCCAGAACCTCTGCTTTTACAGAGGCACTCACGCTCACTGATGGTACATGAATCAAGCGCATTTGACAGGCAGCACCTGGCTGATATTTACCACTCATAATTCCCATGGAAATAGGAAGGGTTTACTTATTTTTTTCAACAGCAGATCTTCATTTTAGCTTTGTTGTTTTTTTACACTGAACAAAAATATAAACGCAACACCTTTGTTACTGCTCCCATTCCCCATGGGATAGACGTAGAGACCTAAAATTCATTCCAGATACACAATATAACCATCCCTCCCAAACAGTGGTCACAAATCAGTCCACATATGTGGTAGTGGGCACATCTGCTATATTGAGATAATCCATCCCACCTCACAGGTGTGCCACATCAGGATGCTGATCTGACATCATGAGTAGTGCACAGGTGTACCTCAGACTGCCCACAACAAAAGGCCACCCTGGAATGTGCAGTTTTGTCTCACAGCAAAATGCCACAGATGCCACAAGCAATGAGGGAGCGTGCAATTGGCATGCTGACAGCAGGAATGTCAACCAGATCTGTCGCCCGTGCATTGAATGTTCATTTCTCAACCATAAGCCGTCTCCACAGGCGTTTCAGAGAATATGGCAGCACATCCAACCGGCCTCACAACCGCAGACCTCGTGTAACCACACCAGCCCAGGACCTCCACATCCAGCAGGTTCACCTCCAAGATCGTCTGAGACCAGCCACCCAGACAGCTGCTGGAACAATTGGTTTGCACAACCAAACAATTTCTGCACAAACTGTCAGAAACCGTCTCAGGGACGCTCAACTGCATGCCCATCGTCCTCATCGGGGTCTTGACCTGACTCCAGCTCGTCGCCGTAACAGACTTGTGTGGGCAAATGCTCACATTCGATGGCGTCTGGCACGTTGGAGAGGTGTGCGCTTCACGGATGAATCATGGTTCACATTGTTCAGGGCAGATGGCAGCTGAGAATGTCCCAGTTCTTGCATGGCCAGCATACTCACCGGACATGTCACCCATTGAGCATGTTCGGGATGTGCTTGACCGGCGTATACGACAGCGTGTACCAGTTCCCACGAATATCCAACAACCTCGCACAGCCATTGAAGTGGAGTGGACCAACATTCCACAGGCCACAATTGACAATCTGATAGACTCCATGCGACGATGTGTTGCACTGCATGAGGCAAATGGTGGTCACACCAGATACTGACCGGTTCTGGGTCCCCAGACCCCCAATAGCGCAAAAAACTGCACATTCCAGGGTGGCCTTTTGTTGTGGGCAGTCTGAGGTACACCTGTGCACTACTCATGATGTCAGATCAGCATCCTGATGTGGCACACCTGTGAGGTGGGATGGATTATCTCAATATAGCAGATGTGCCCACTACCACACATTTGGACTGATTTGTGACCACTGTTTGGGAGGGATGGTTATATTGTGTATCTGGAATGAATTTTAGGTCTCTACGTCCATCCCATGGGGAATGGGAGCAGTAACAAAGGTGTTGCGTTTATATTTTTGTTGAGTGTAGATAAATAGTGATGTGATGTAATATGGCACGCTTTGTGGTTGATCTGAGGTTGTATCTAGAGAGAGAGAGAATCTTATGAATGTATATATAAAATTAAAAAATAAGGAAAAGCATTATAGCACTTTCAGAGGGTCAAATAAATGGAAAGCGTTCTCTAAAATAAGGTGTGTTTTGTATAAAAGGGGCTTTCAGCTTAGTCTGATATTTACTTTGGCACCTCTTTTTTTTTTTTTCTTCCAGTGACCGGTTTGTGTTACCTTTCAGAGACATTTTGGATGTCTGTGTCAGCCTCGGGTCATAACACACAGACTGTCAAATCAAGTGTGAGAAGGGGTGAGGAGGGAGCAAAGACAAGTGTGGAAGGCAAGAGTGAAGGACCGACAAGAGGAAATTGTGTTTCAGTCCAAAGTTCAGTGTATTTTTCAGATCTTATGATGCTCCTGCTCCTAATTTCCTGAACTACCAGCAGACACTTTGGCATATACAGTATGAGAGGATTACCTCTTTGACTTTATCCTTTCCCAGTTATGCTCTGATGCAGAGATGCTCATTTCAAGGTTCTGTGAACAAATGCAAGTTTTGTGTCAAGTTTTTTTTAAAGCTTTGTGTCTGAATTGGAGTCCCTGTGCCAGTCATATCCCAAACCTTTGCTGTTCTTTAACTGGGCAGGATCAAACAGATGCCAGATGAAGGTTTCGTGGCTGTGAAGTTCTTCATTCTGTCAGAAACATAATTTCAGCCCTTCATCTTTTTCCACTTTTCTGTTTTTCCCCCATTCTCCTCCCTTGTTCCAGTGTGTCAGAGTTACAGTGGTCCACAGAGCAAAATATAACACAAAGGCTCTAAAATAGGTTTCAAACATAAGGCCCAAGGGCCTGAATCAAGTCGAATCCGGCCCACTGGACTTGTGAAGGAGTGCATAGATTTAAATTTTTTGTGCATTTTCATAGGTTTTAGAGCTTTTCCTATTGTAATTAACTAACAAATTAACAATTAAATGACAGATTGCACGATTAATAAATCTACAGTTCACACAAAACACTTTCATAATTACAGGACAGTCTGTGCAACAACTATGTAAACATTTTCTGCAGGATTCTCTCCTTCTCAGCCCTTCACGTCTCACAGTCTTACTGCCTTTACTGTGAACATTTTATGTGCAGAGTTTAAAACTGTAACTGTTTCACATTGTTCTCAGGGACGAGGTGCTTTCAGACAAAACTATTTTGAAGCTCAGGTACAGAAAGAACTTCACAAGCATCTTTATTTGGTTTTGTTTTCCTTCCTGCCCAAGGACTCAGTGCATGAAGTGATTAAGACAGACTCCTGTGCAATCATTTCTATAGACAAGCCTCAATTGAGAGTGGAGGCATTTCTCTTTCACTGAGGTTCACAGCGTCCAGCTATTCACCCAGCCGGTCGAGATCAGAAGGAACAACTTTGTTGGTCTGATCAGCAAGGAGCTGAATTGTGTCGCAGCAGTGCTGGTTTTATAAAGCCATTTCTGTAAGAGCTTGAGTGAAAAAAATACAAAAAACCCTTTCTGAATATATTCATACTCGCACTTTTCCTCCGTTTTAATAATTTTTTGACCTTCCGTAGCTCTCCTCTTTCTGTCTTTTGTTTACTCGAGTCTTATCCGTTCTTTTCAAACCTCACGGCGAAAGCTGCACAGTCATCAGCCAGCTTCTGGTTTCCTGCATTCCAGCTCTACCCTTGAGAGACGCGAAGGCTGTTTGTTGTTCCAAACCAAACACAGTCCCACACACGTTCATTATATGACAAACCGAAGCCAAGTCAAATTTGAATTTCTAAATGAGTCTTCTAAAAGTGTTTGTTTGTTTTCATTCTGGTGACAAACACAGTGACAACTGCCACGAGTTACTTATCTGAGACTTTTTAATTTCTATTAATCACACTCTTCTCCTTACACGTGAAAGCTTGAATGCACAGGAGATGAACTGCTCCATTGTAAACACTTATTCTAACTGCTGTGATGACTATCACCGGCTTCTATTAGTAAATAAGTGTTAATCATTAGCTGCACACTGTGCTGCCATTCAGGGTTACTGCAGACCAGCAGTATGAATGCAGACCTCTGTGAACAGGCTGTCAGGTCACCTCCCACTGCAAACAAGCTTTAACGTCATTTTACTTTCATACATGCAGTTTTCTGGGCTGCACATCCTTACAATACACAGCTTACATGCACTCATGGTCATGGATGTCATGGCAATTTTAGACTTTAAATGATGTCTGTGAGCTGTTTTCAAGCTTTTTCCAAGGATTAGAAAGAAAAAAGAATTTGGTGCATAAGTTTTGGATTTTCTATAATTCACACGCTCCCACTAATATTTGGTTAAATTTCCTTTAGCACCTTGACCAGATGCTTTTGGTATCCATCAACAAGCTTCTGACATAATCCTGGCTGGATGTTGGAACTCTTTTCTTGTGTGAGTCGATTTTAATTTGAATTTTTTAATTTGATTTTAATTGTTTGGTTTCCTCACATGGTCCCATCTTTTAAGTGCATTGTACAATTTTTGGAGCAATTCAATTCAGTTTTATTTATACAGCGCCAAATCACAACAACAGTCGCCTCAAGGCGCTTTATATTGTAAGGTAGACCCTACAATAATACACACAGAGAAAAGCCCAACAATCATATGACCCCCTATGAGCAAACACTTTGGCGACAGTGGGAAGGAAAAACTCCCTTTTAACAGGAAGAAACCTCCAGCAGAACCAGGCTCAGGGAGGGGCGGAGCCATCTGCTGCAGCCGGTTGGGGAGAGAGGAGGAGGACAGGATAAGAGAATTGAATTGAGTTTCTTCAAGACCTTCGCAAAGTGGTGACACATCTGTACCATGGGACCTTCCTACCTTGTGTAAATCTAAAATTCTCCTTCTTACATTTGCACTGAGTTCTTCGGACTTTCCTGTTTTTCGAGTTTTGATCAATGAGTCCTTTTTATGCTGGCAAAGACAAACTACCAGTTGTAGTCAGTCATAACCACAAACAAAAAGTTAATAGGCCTTGGACCTGGAGAACCCTCAGCACCATTTATTAAAAGATTTGAGCTCACATATACACTGACCCTGTGTTCAGTTAGAAAATTATCCCACATAACATGCTCACTCAGTTCTTATTTCTTAAAGTCATTAAAGATGTCTGCTGTACAATCATTCCACCCTGGAAAATGAACCGTTCAAAGAAGTAATTAAAAGCCCCCAAACTACCATGACTTTCATGCCAGTGATGAGTTGACACAAACATCTGACCACAACTGTAAATCTGCTGTGTGGAGCACGGAGGCAGCAGCAGAAACAGTAATGTGCATGTTCAGTCAGCCGCGTGACAAACAAACACAAAAGCTAGAAAACCTGTATTACAACCACTCCAGGTAATGCACACAACAACAGATGAACTAAAGCCCCTGAGGTAGGCGAATAACAACAGTGACTCCAGCAGCTGAAGGTTTTTAAAGACTCCATATTTTCATTCTTGGACTTTACAGAGAAGCTTTGCGGGATCCAGACTACAAATCCATCATATTTGCCTTATACTGAGGCTTGGCACAGCCAACTTTAGCTTTAGGTAACCATCTCCTGATTGGCTACTTTTTTCAATCTGAAGTTTTGAATAACAGGTGAGCGGGGCTTCTGTACTCAGACTTCTGTATCAGAGATTACTCCCACATCGAATTGCGGAAAAACTGTCTGAAAGGCAGAACTACAACGTCTTTAAGAGCAGAAATCCAGAATTTATTGTATATACAGGGAGTGCAGAATTATTAGGCAAGTTGTATTTTTGAGGAATAATTTTATTATTGAACAACAACCATGTTCTCAATGAACCCAAAAAACTCATTAATATCAAAGCTGAATGTTTTTGGAAGTAGTTTTTAGTTTGTTTTTAGTTTTAGCTATTTTAGGGGGATATCTGTGTGTGCAGGTGACTATTACTGTGCATAATTATTAGGCAACTTAACAAAAAACAAATATATACCCATTTCAATTATTTATTTTTACCAGTGAAACCAATATAACATCTCCACATTCACAAATATACATTTCTGACATTCAAAAACAAAACAAAAACAAATCAGCGACCAATATAGCCACCTTTCTTTGCAAGGACACTCAAAAGCCTGCCATCCATGGATTCTGTCAGTGTTTTGATCTGTTCACCATCAACATTGCGTGCAGCAGCAACCACAGCCTCCCAGACACTGTTCAGAGAGGTGTACTGTTTTCCCTCCTTGTAAATCTCACATTTGATGATGGACCACAGGTTCTCAATGGGGTTCAGATCAGGTGAACAAGGAGGCCATGTCATTAGTTTTTCTTCTTTTATACCCTTTCTTGCCAGCCACGCTGTGGAGTACTTGGACGCGTGTGATGGAGCATTGTCCTGCATGAAAATCATGTTTTTCTTGAAGGATGCAGACTTCTTCCTGTACCACTGCTTGAAGAAGGTGTCTTCCAGAAACTGGCAGTAGGACTGGGAGTTGAGCTTGACTCCATCCTCAACCCGAAAAGGCCCCACAAGCTCATCTTTGATGATACCAGCCCAAACCAGTACTCCACCTCCACCTTGCTGGCGTCTGAGTCGGACTGGAGCTCTCTGCCCTTTACCAATCCAGCCACGGGCCCATCCATCTGGCCCATCAAGACTCACTCTCATTTCATCAGTCCATAAAACCTTAGAAAAACCAGTCTTGAGATATTTCTTGGCCCAGTCTTGACGTTTCAGCTTGTGTGTCTTGTTCAGTGGTGGTCGTCTTTCAGCCTTTCTTACCTTGGCCATGTCTCTGAGTATTGCACACCTTGTGCTTTTGGGCACTCCAGTGATGTTGCAGCTCTGAAATATGGCCAAACTGGTGGCAAGTGGCATCTTGGCAGCTGCACGCTTGACTTTTCTCAGTTCATGGGCAGTTATTTTGCGCCTTGGTTTTTCCACACGCTTCTTGCGACCCTGTTGACTATTTTGAATGAAACGCTTGATTGTTCGATGATCACGCTTCAGAAGCTTTGCAATTTTGAGACTGCTGCATCCCTCTGCAAGATATCTCACTATTTTTGACTTTTCTGAGCCTGTCAAGTCCTTCTTTTGACCCATTTTGCCAAAGGAAAGGACGTTGCCTAATAATTATGCACACCTGATATAGGGTGTTGATGTCATTAGACCACACCCCTTCTCATTACAGAGATGCACATCACCTAATATGCTTAATTGGTAGTAGGCTTTCGAGCCTATACAGCTTGGAGTAAGACAACATGCATGAAGAGGATGATGTGGACAAAATACTCATTTGCCTAATAATTCTGCACTCCCTGTAGAATTAAATAGAATTCATTAACATGCAAATATGTTTCACATCAAAAAGGTTTTATAGAGTAAGATACCGCTTGGCTGAAAGGTGCCAGTATATGTGTAGATGTAATGTGGCTGTATTGAAAGTCTCCACTTTCAGCTGGTGAATTTAAAATATGGAAGAGGGAAGATAATTCAAGCTGCAGCCACTCAGTCATTTCACCTTCTCTTCACCTGAATGTTGCTTTTTATACATTCTTGAGACTCACAGCGTCACTCTGTCCTTCAGGTAGTTGCAAAAGATTAGAAGGTTTACACAAGAGCAAAGAGATTCTCGCTGCTGGTCACAGACTTGTTACCGAAATAAAACTCAAGCAGCTCTCTCCACTTTCTGGGTTCCTGCTCAGGTATTTTAGTGCATTTTTGAAGGGAAATTGCTGCTAGAAATATGCATTAAAAATGCAGAAAGATTTAAAGCTGCACAGTTTGAATCCCTTTAGAAAGTGTAGCAACATTTCTTGTTAAATAAAAACATATTGGTGCAGCTGAAGTTAACCAACTTCACTTTGCAAAGGCTCAAAATCTGGAATGTTTTTTTCCACAGAATAAACCCACATGACAAACTGCATTCCCACAAACCCCGCTGCTCACACACTGAGCTGGAGATGGAAAAGTATCTGGTACACACATGAAAATTCACTTAAGGGGGAGAAAAAAAACCCTCCCAGGTGCAGTCGTGTTTCTGAAGGCAAGGAGGTGAAACCATTCCACAGGCCAGTTTCCACTTGGAAAGTCGGGGTTTCCGCCCATTCTTATATTTGTGCAAATGCTTTTGCACAGTTGCTGCCTTTAAGGAGATCTGGAAAGAGTGAGTGGGTACAACATGGCATCCCAGCATTTCTATTTGAGGGTAATGGGGTTGGCTGTACTGCTGACATTATTAGCTCTTAGAGGTAAGCAAAATCTTTTGTTTTTCTTTGGCTTCTTCTAAGTTTACATCTTTTACTGACTCGACTGTTTCCAATACCATTAGGTCTTATTTCTGCAGCTGCTTTTTTTTCTTTTTTAACTGCACTGGCACTAGTTAAAAAGATGCATTTCTTTACATTTGTTAAGAAAAAAAGGATCATTTTACTATATTCCACAAACTTAAAGTGCAATTGATCCCTTCTGAAATGCATTTTAGAAACCTGCAAAGGCGTCTTTGTTTTCAGTTCATTCTATTTTGTAAGAAGGTTCCACATAGACAGGATTTAAAGTCACCTTAAATGAAAAATCCATCTGAGCAAACTCACATGTGCTTCACATCTGCTTCAATAATCTTCTGTTGAAAAGCCTACAAACACATGCCTCATAAAGAGCTTTTCTCTAAATAAAACAAGAGTGAAACAATCCCTGCATCTTTGAATCTGAAAAGGATCTGTTTTAAAATTAAAGTTTGTTTAAGTCTGAAGAATAAGACAAAGTTAACTAATACGCAGTGATCTAACAAGATATCCAACACTTAAATGGCCCTAACTATGATATGAAACAGTAATGTGAAGGTAAATAGCTGAGGAAAACACTATTAAAGTCATTCTGAAAAAAAGGGAATGTGCTCCTGCTTCTGCTTATTTATGGTTTTCCTCAAACTTCATGGTCTGAAGCACCAGCCTGCAAACCATGTGGTTTCTACAGCAAACGATGTTTCCGGACATGCATCACGCATAGTTTTAGGACTGATGGGTTTTAGCATCCTGCTGTACAGCCACCATGCCCTGGTATCGCACAATCAGACTTTAAAAACTGATCAACATATTCAACAGATAGCTTTGCTTACAGAGGCTCATGCAAGCAGCTCTGTGAGGTTGCTAGGTACAGTGCAATGCTAATTTTTTCATGCTAAAATACACTTCATTCACAGATCACACGGTTGCTGCAGATTTGTCAGGTGTGCATCCATGACAGGAATCGCCTGTTCCGGCACACCCCAAAGGTGCTCTGTTGGATTAAGGTCTGGTGACTGTGGAGGTCATTTGAGTACAGTGAACTCATTGCCATGTTCAAGAAACCAGTTCGAGATGATTTGTGTGTCATTCCATAGCCATCATAAGATGGTAAACTGTGGTCACACACATGGACATTGTCAGCAAGTCATATTTTAATCAGACCACCCCAGTGTCACAGCAGAAATAGAGACTCGTGAGACCAGGAAACATTTTTTCAGTCTTCCACTGTCTAGTCTTGATGAGCCTGTACAAACTGTAGCCTCAGTTTCCTGTTCTTAGCTGACAGGAGAGGTATTTGAAGTAAGCTTTTACTGCTGTACACCATCTGCTTCAAGGTTCAACAGCATTCAGAGACGCTCTCAGTCATGCCTTTGTTGTAATTGGTTATTTTAGTTACCATTATATTCCTACCAAGTTTGCCCATTCCTCTCTGAGAATGAATCACAGTTTATCATGTTAGCATGATAACATCTGCAAGGCAAAAAGGTTAAACCAAGGATGAAGTTGCTGTCAGGACTCTTGTAGGTACTCAAACAACCAAAGCTGGATTTTGATCATTTGATTAGTTGCTGGAACTACAGAGTAGGTCAGTAAATGAGCCAGTAGGATAAATCATCTAGGGGCCTTGAACGTCAGCAGATTGATGCACTATTAAAGATGTCAGGAAGTGGACACATTTCTAATGATGATGGTTAGAGAAAAGAATAATTACACCACTGCAGAGCTGTGGAAATAATGACTAATAATGACTAATAGTACATTACGAAGGCCAAGCTGCTGCAGTACTGAGAACATTCTGAATAAATCGACTCCTCTCCAACTTTATCTCGAATTATGCCACTGAAATGCCTGTACGGCTGTATTTCTGTGCATCTTCCGGTGTGGAGCTCAGTTTTCTGTTTAAATGTTCCGAAACAAACAAAAGACTAAGTTACAGAAACATCACCCAAATGCACGGGGCTCAATAAAGTGCAGTAAAACGTCATCTGACTAGATTGGTTTGGTGAACTCTTGGACACGAGTGCTCCAAACATTGGGTCAACAGTGTGCCAGAAGAGATCTAGGAAGTGACCGCAGCACATTTATTTACATGCAAATTTGCCAGAAGCTGCTTTCTTTGGATGCGAGTTGGCAACTTGCCGGCTGAGTAAGCACAAGTGAAGGGTGTAAAACTACTGATGCCAACCAGAAAAACTGCTGCACTGCAAACAACATAAAGAAATGCGGACAGATGCTCACCAGCCACTTTGTCAGGCACGCATGTTCAACTGCTTGCTAACTCAAATATCCAATCAGCCAATCACATTGCAGCAACTCAGTATATTTAGACAAGTAGACGCGGTCAAGACGATCTGCTGAAGTTCAAACTGTGCATCACGATGAGGAAGAAAGTGATGTGAGTGACTTTGAATGCAGAGCAGTTGTTAGTGACTGATAGTCTGGTCTAAGTGTTACTGCTGATCGGCATCTGTACGATTTACAGAGAATGAACAAAGAAAAGATACATTATCTAGTTACCAGCAGTTCTCTGCATGAAAATGTCTCGTTGAGGTCAGCAGCCAGAGAATGGCCAGACTGCTTCAAGCTGCTAGGAAAGCAACAGCAACAAGTAACCACTTAAAATAACCATGCTCTTCTGTATGTTTGAGTTCACTGCACTCAAATGGTCTCTACACTCACCAGATCTCAATTTAATAGAGAATCTTTGGGATGTGGTGGAGCGGGATCATGGCTATGTAGCTGGCAAATTTGCAGCAACTGTGTCATTCGGTCATGTCAAAAAATTAGGAATGTTTTTGAATCTGTGTCATTAAGAATGAAGGCTGTTATGAAGGCAAGGTTTGGTGTAGCTAACAAATCATCCAGTGAGTGTGCATAAATGAATAGTATTTATGATTTTGTGAAGATGGCATCAGAAAGAAACAGACACCTTAAGCTGACTGGTTAAAATGTGTGGCTGTTTTAAAGATTAATTATATCCGAGTTAGTTGTTTTTATTATTTATCACCAGTCTAACATACCTGCCACGAAGAAAAGCATTTGTACTGCAGCTCATTATGTCTCTGTTGACTCTCCTTTACAGTATCCAGCGACGGCCACTTACACAAGATCTTGAAGCGAGATGGTAACATCCTTAAACACGTACCTAACATTGTCTTTGTGCGGCTGATAGAAAACTCAACAACATTAAGTATTTTTCAAAATACCATTCCTTTCTCCCCCCCACCCCCTGTTGTGCCTCCATCCAGTGGCAGGAACTGGTACTGCAGCATCACGGTCCTCAGTTGCAGTTCCTTCTTCCAAAGCCAAAGAGTTCCTGGCAAAACTGAGCAGAACCAAGAGGAACCTTTGGGATCGCAGCAGACCGGACGTACAGCAGTGGATCATGCAGTTTATGTACATGGGATATGATGAGCAGGTGAGTTGTGTTTCTTCTGAGAGAGGTCAACTTTAAGACTAACTTTATGTTATAGTAAAATACCATTACAACTATTCAGTAATGTCGGATTAGGTGAGTAAAACCAAGAGGAACACTCAAAAATAATGAGAGTAACACAAACACATACACAGAGAGTACAAAAAGTTGAGACCTTTCATTCATCTCATTTGTTTTTAAGACAAACATTTTAGGTTAAACACTGGTCTGATGGCTGAACGATGCTTGAAACATTCCTCAAAAGGCAAAATCATGAACAGATAAGTACAGGTGCAGGGCTGGACACGCGACAACATGAATTTCCTCTCTCTCACGCACAAACAGAAACCCACTTACAGCGCCAGATTCAGCTTTCTTCCAGGTCAGCGGCTCTCGTGTAGAACTCGCCGGGGACCCTAAGGAGCGAAGGGAACGCAGAACAAGGGCAGAAAAAGGAGAGCCGAGTGCACAAAGTAGCTCCCCGCTGCCATTTCTGACAGCTGACAGCATGTGTTTCACCCCGCTACAGCAGTATTTCTCCAACAGCGCCATGTTGACACCTTGTGCTAATGCCATTTGCTGTTGCTTCCTTTAAAAGGCCAAAGCTGTCATAGCATCGGCCTTTTCAGCGTTTGCCTTTCATGCAGGTCTGTTTGCCACAGCTATGCCTGCTGACAGTCTTGGTGGTCATCTTATCAGCACCCTGTGCGTCTGCTGGCTTCAGACTTCTATTGAGTTTATTAACAAGTGACATCCGTGGTGTTTTTGTCTCACCAGAGGCTGGAGGCCGACATGGCGTACTGGAGGGACCACGCGCGTGCCAACGACCCCGGCCGTCAGCACCACTACGATGAAAACGCTCCCATTGCCCCGCGAGATCCTTCTTCTTACAGACACGGCGCTAATGTTAACTACGACTACTATTAACCACAGACACACACACATCTGGGTGCATATCAGTCCCATCAGAGTGAGGTACATTAAGCAGCATTCATTCCCAGGAGACATACCCTTACTCCAACTTTAAATTAGGTGTACTAAAAGGAATCATTTGCATTATGAGCAGATTCATGCACTCACTGCATTGAGAATACAAGCACCAAAGGTTTTGGATCTTTCAGTTAGTCGCCTTCTATCTCTTTAGTCTCACACCTGTTCAAGTACTTCACAGGTATTCTGTCTTGTGTAGTGTAGCCCCTTGAAAATCGTCCTTTGATCCCCTTCTTTATATATTTCTCATGATAATTTTCTCTCTTTCTACGTACTAATTCTAAAATAATTTTTATTCATAGACATCCACCTGCCTGACAACTACAGCTGGTTTCCTCTCTGCCTTTACCTGTAAATAAAGACGTAGCTCTGTACTTCTTTGGCTCTGCCATGTTTTTTTTCTTAAATCCGACTCAACAGTAGGTGAGCGTCTTTAACCATCAACATCAAACGCAAAGTATTGGAAATATTTTATTAAAATAGCATCTTCACCCGAAATAATTAATCAACAAACACGGAAGATGTTGTGAAAAGCAAATCTGTAACAGTCTTTCTAGAAGGTTTATCCCAGCCCTGCGGTGCGCTGCATGGACAGCCAACAGGGTGCCGGCACGCCACTGATCGAAGGACAAAAACATCCAGTGGAAAAAACCAAATTCAGATAGCTTGTTTCTACAGACAAAACACAAAGTAAACACAAAGCACAGATGCACAGTGCAAGCTGTTTGCAGAATTCTCATGTCGGCGATTTAAATAGCAAAAGCATAAATTCACAAAAGAAAGTAGATTGAGGCAAGTTTCTTGCCTTCAGTTTGTTGCCTCTGATTCTGGCTCGTCTGTCACACAAGCTGCAGTAAGGCGGCCTTACTGACACTAAAATCGTAGGTCCAGTGCAGGCCAACAGTCTGTAAAATACGTTTTAAGAGTAGGATGTCTCTGCTTGTCAAAAAAAAAAAAGACTCCATTTCCCAGAGTGCAGCAATCAGCAGTGTATTTCACAGAGCTGCACTTTAAGGAGTCTTAACATCTTTGTGTTGAGGTGGAACAGTAAGGCTCAGTTGTGTCTGGGTCTTCCTTTCTTCATGCGGGCAGCTTTAGGTTTGGGGATGTACTGGTTGTTAGCCTGGTGCTCCAGCTCTCTGCTGAAGTACTGAATTGTTTTGTTTAAGCCTTCCTCCAGGGGCACCTGTCAACACAAAACAACACATCAAACGCTGACATACTACCAGGAGGAACAGGAGGTATTCGACACCTCGGAGTCGAATACCTTCCCTTAACCGATCATTTAGCATCTCACATCACTGACAGTCCGGCTAATACAGCCCCCTGTCATATATATTCACAGCCTGCCCTTCTCTTTCCAAGTTAAGGTGTTGAATTCATAGGAATAATTGTAAATATTATGAAGTCACGGTGTGACTGGCCTTTGATGTTTTGGATGAATTCATTTATTTTTCCCTCAGGAGGTTAAAGACGTAACAGTGCGATTGATACTGGATGATATTGAATGTAGCTATCATCTATAAGCTCTTTTTTTCCTGTTTCAAACTGTGCTGCCTTTAACTTTAATATTCCCTCCCTTCACCCCCAACCGGTTGCGACAGATGGCCGCCTCTCCCTGAGCCCAATTCTGCTGGAGGTTTCTTCCCGTTAAAGAGTTTTTCCTCCCCGTTGTTACCTACCGGTAGGTATGTGCTCATAGGGGGGTTTCTCTGATTTTTATGTATTATTGTGGGTCTTTACCTTACAATATCAAACACCTGGAGGTAGCTGTTGTTGTGTTTTTGCGATATATAAATAAAACTGAATTGAACTGAACATGCTAACTGAGACCTGTTAACTCTAGAGTCTGAAATGTGCCAAACTGATGGGAGGAATAGCTGCTTGGCTAAGCTCATCACTGATTTTTTCCCCGTGGCATAACTCCCCAAACTTCTGCTTTTATAAAGATTAGCAGCATCCAGCTGGTATTTACCCTGCTAATTCCTATCGACACAGTACTTTGTTTTCACAGGACTGCAAAGAGTTTCTTTTACACTTAATCGCAAGTCTATGTATAACAGTCTCATGTGTAAATAAACTTTAAATTATGTAACATTTTTAACACTCAGCTCAGTCACTATTAAAAACTTCAGGACATCAAGTATACTGATGGTGGAAGACAGCATGTGTGCACTACAAATATCTCAGAATAATCTCGGCGTGCGTCACACGTACCACCGGTTCCCAGCCAAGCATCATCTTGGCTTTGCGGATGTCGGGTCTTCTCCTCTGTGGGTCGTCCTGGGCCTCAGGAAGAAACTGGATCTGGCTTCGGCTCACTGCGTGTGTGTACATGGTAGTGTTTTAAAGGACAGCAGGGAGGAGGATGTTATTATTCTTCACAGAGCCAACTGAAGGGACTGTTTTATTTTTAGGGAACTACATTCAGTGCCAGGTTTGGCCCTGGCTGTTTACTATGAAAGTAAGTCAGAGACTGCAATATGATGTCACACTATAGTGACTGGTAATGTAAGACACTATACCAGTAAAACATACCAACCAAACAAACAAACATGCATGCATCTCTTTGCAGAGACCACAAAGACAAAAAAAGAAATTCCACCTTAAATAACCCTTGACACCCCCGAGGTTACGCCTGGTTTTGATAGTGCTGGACCAATCACAACTATTCATTCAATACAGAGTGTGTTTCACATGATGACAAACATTTCACACTGTGGTCTGTTTTTCCATCACTCAGAGATTTGGTGGCTGCAACTGAGTTTACACTTTTCCAATATCATCAAAAAACTAAAATGAAACCTCTAGACTTATTTGTTTACCACTGCAAAACAACGAAACACCTGTTTTGTGTTTCTGTGTTTCTGCAGTGCAGGACTTAGATTTAAATTTAAAGTGTGTACTTAAGGAGTCATCCCTCCTCCTATGTGAGAACTCGTTAACACAAACGTCTTTTTCACTCTGCTGGGCACCACAATTTACAAAATTAAATTTAAAATCCATAAACAGTTTACTGAGGTAATAAAGCAGACATCAACACTCCTTTTCACATTTTTTTAATATATCTATTTTCAACATATAGATAGATTTTTTTGGTGCCAACAAAGGAAATGCCTCCTGTTGGTCACAGGAAAGAGTGCAGGTTTAGGGCACTTCCACCTCACTATTCAGACCCCAAAGGTTCATCTTTTATCATACACTCTGTGGGCATAAGATGCTGCCAGACTTCCCAAGACACACTTTTAAACAAACCTTCCTTGCACGTATACACACGTTTAAAAAAAAGGAAAAGAAACCAGCAGGTATAACTCTCATGACTTATCGTTGTCTTAGAACCGCTCTGCAGACTGGAGCCTCTACTACCACAAATAAGTAACACTGAATGTTTCTCCCACTGAAAAACGCTACGTCCAGATGAACGCTGAGTAACACTGATCAACACATGATATACACAACACTGTATCATCTGACATATTGTCACTTCTTTTGGTTATTTTGTCACATAAGGTCACTTTTTGCAGCCCATTTAAAGCTTGTGAACCTTCACCTGTCACCAATCCACTGGAATACACCTTACATCCATCAACTTATCACATTCTTGGATTCTGGTTATGACCGAGCAATCTTTCATGGTTCTCTGCCTCAGGCATGTTTTCATTAGCATACTTCATGCTGAGGCCCGCTGACATCCCCATTGCAGCTGACGCTATTTTGGTTGCATCTATGGTTAGCTGCGATTTGCTCCAAACAAGAAAGTGATCCTGCTTTTAAATGTCCTGCCGACTTCCTCCCTGTGAGGGCGGCCTTATACCACCAGGATAAAACGATGACGAGGCATGAGCTGGTACAGCCCGCACAAGACTTACCAACAAGACTTTTAATGAGGCGAGCAAACTCCAATATAGTGTGCTCTTCTGGGTTTCCCTGAAAAACAAATTAATCCATTACATCAGAGTCAGCAAGTGTCAGACACACAGAATCAATTTGCCTTTCAATTTATGAAACGCAGCCACATATTATGAACTCACCAGATTGACTGGACTGCTGATGTTGCTGTTCATCAGCAAGACAAGGCCATTCACCAGATCACTGGAAAACACAGACAGGAGCACGCTCTATTTTTAATATGAAGGACACTTTATGAACATGCACAGATTTCTTTAATCAGAACACCGTGTATACTCCACGTGGCATCTATGCAAGTGTATCAGCATACCCTGACTGACACTTGTTTTATTCTCACTCTCTCTCTCCCTAACACACACACACACACACACACACACACACACACACACACACTTAATTAACATAATTAGACCGCAACACTGGCAGGCAAGTGCACACTGAGATAAGACTGTCCAACTCTGGAAAAGTTAATTTAGAATTTAGCAGGTTAACAATCTGATATCAAAAACAAACACAGGGACAGTTAAGGGAACTTAATTGTGATTTTTGTTTCTATTACATTTAATATTATGTTATATTTAATTAACTCTGATGGAGCAGCCGTGTGATGGCCGTATTCAGGATGTACCCTGCCTCTTAAACAGCTGAGCTGGATAAGCAGTTAAAAAAATGGACGATGAAATAGACAAAGCAGCATGTTTGAACCTCACCCCAGATCTCAACTTATTCTAACGAGATACACAAAGTTTATTTGTCCACTTCCCGAACTGAGGCACAATTCATACCAACAGCCAAAGAGGAGTCCTAGACCTGCGCCGGCAGAAACTTGATGTGAACTTCTTCACACCAATGAATCTTTTAGTGCTGCTCCCCAAATTGTTCATTATTTATTACATTATTTATAAATAATTCTGCAAATTTTCTTTATAACTTCAATCATATTTATTACGGCTTTTCACCCAATGTTTCTTCCTTTGAAAAATCTAAAACTTGAGTTCATTCCTTTTATCTCATCATATTACTTTATTTATTGACACAGTTACCGTTTACATAAACACTTTATGGTACATTTGCTGTTAATTTCCAAGGATTTACTTTCACTTAGAAATCCAACTATTTGTTTTCCTTTTGATCACTCACAAAGAAACCTCAATGCAAAATTGAATGCATGAATGAATGCTGTTTGTAAATTCTGTAAAAACTTTTAATAAAACATTTTAGAACTGAAATCATGAAATTCTCCAGTGTGCATCTTTAATTGCTTGGTGTGAAAGTTTAGATCTGATTAGCTTTAGGTGTTAGTTATGAAATACATTTTTTTCTGGAGGTTCAACTTCAAGAAAAGCTACCCAAAGACTGTTTACACAACACGAAAGTCATACAGGGCATCAGGTAAATGCTACGATCAGATACGAGAGCTTCAAATGCTCTGTGCCTCTGATCCCTGTTGCTCAGTCTGACTAAATGAAACCAGTAAATACTCTTTGAACTTACACCATGCTTCTTTACTTTATATTAAAATCTACAAAAGTGTAAAACTCTACCCACAAACATATCTTTCATACAATTTAATGCCACCATGAACAAAAGCCTCACTCTGGTTTACATTGGCATATGTGTGTGTACAGAGACTGTTTCATATTAAAAGTTATTTGTCATTATTAGTGTTTTTTTGTTATAGTATTTGAAACAGGTGACACACAATACTGTGCAAAAGTCTTGAGCCACACCTCATTTCATTTATAAAGAAATGTTCAGTAAAGAATAACCAAATATAAATGGAAATAGAGTAGATAAGGTAAAAAACAAAAACAAAACAGGGTTTTTACATTACTAACAAGTCATAATATTTAGTATTAACTAATTAATTTAACATAGTCTAAACTCTCTTTGATGGCTTTCTTTAATTTCTTTATGTAGTCTTCAGGAATAGTTCTCCAGGCAGCTTCAAGGACATTCAAAGCTCTTCTTTGAATGTTGGCTGCCTTTTGCTCTGTTCTCCGCTTCAATAATGTCGAGGTTGGATCTTTGGGGAGGCTAATCCACGACTGACAGCCTTGGGCTACGTCCACACTAGCCTGGCGAGATTTGAAAACGGGGTTTTCGTCTGAAAATGCTTTTACTGCATTATCAGTGTGTTTCGAGTCATGCTGAAAAATGAAGGTGTTGCCAATCAGCAGCTTTTTAGGTGGTATGAATGGTGTCTCAAAATCTGACTGTACTTCTCAGACTGAAAACGAGTGAAAAAGCAACAAATGTCTAAAGAAAAAACTTTGTATGATCTTCAGAAAGCCTTGAGAGCTATTGCTCAAGATTACTTCAAAAAATGGAAGGAAAGTTTGGCTCCTTGGAAGCAAAATAAAAATAAAAGGGGGTGTGGCTTAAGAGTTGTTTAAGATAATGAGACAATGGAGATCGACGAGAAAAATTGTGCATTTCAGGGATGAATATAATGGGTTTAATTTAGTAAACTTACCTTACATACTGAAAGGCTCTTGTCTGGGAGCCGGTACCGTAAACCTAGAAGAAGAAATAAAATAAACAGGCTATCCTTGAGTGATGAGCAAGCTGACATTGTAAAATGTCAAAGTCAAGGCCAAGGTTAGCATGTGTTACCCTGTGTAAATACCCTCAGAAGCAGAGTCCCCTTTGGACCTCTGGATGCATGTTATTCCCCTGCTCCCATTCCTTACATTTCTCTCTACTGCATCCATATTTGGTTTCAATGTAATGCTTTTAAACCACTTTTACCATGTCAAAGAAATTATGTTAAACAGGTCAGGATCTAGATTTGAAATAATAAAACCCCATCCTTTGATTTTCAGTTAAAGAAAATTATATGTAATATGAATATTAAACCGGGCAGCACGGTGGCACGGTGGTTAGCACTGTTGCCGCACAGCAAGAAGGTCCTGAGTTCAATTCCTCCATCAGGCCGGGGTCTTTCTGTGTGGAGTTTGCATGTTCTCCCCGTGTTTGCGTGGGTTCTCTCCGGGTACTCCGGCTTCCTCCCACCGTCCAAAGACATGCAGCTTGTGGGGATAGGTTAATTGATTAATCTAAATTGTCATTAGGTGTGAATGTGCGAGTGAATGCGAGTATGAATGGTTGTCTGACCCATGTGTTAGCCCTGCGACAGACTGGCGACCTGTCCAGGGTGTACCCCGCCTTTCGCCCTATGACAGCTGGGATAGGCTCCAGCGCCCCCCGCGACCCTGAAAACGATAAGCGGAAGCGAATGGATGGATGGATGGATGAATATTAAACCATCTTCCATGTGGGACTAATCCAATGTGCTTTAAAATGATCCCGATGTGCCTCGATACTTGCAGCACATACAAATGAGGTGAAAGCCGAGCAAGTAAAAAACTTAAAATGCATACAGTGAGAGGTTCTCCTTGAAGAGCCTGAAGGATGAAATTACTGACAACCCGTCCGTCGTTCATGTGCATACGGGAGCCGAACGTGTTGAAGATTCGTGCCACTCTCACCTCTACACCCTCCTGTAAGCAAAGGAGAACCGAGAACTTGTTAACTCTGAGGTGTCTGAATACTTTTTAAGGATCTCAATACTCAATCCTCACATACATAATCACCTCCACTTGTCAAAAATCAGTAAATAATCGAGGCCAAGTAGAGGATAGATACTCTGCTTGATCCCAGAGTGAGAAAGTTCTTCCTTATTTTAAATCCACGGACCTTCTTAAGTCACTCTCATGCACCACCACAAACTACTTCAGATGCTACGTGGAATCGTCTTTGGTCGTGTAATATGAATAAAAACATGAAAATTATGGAAATTGCTCTCTTGAAAATGTGGAACATGAAATTCAACAGGCACATCCTGCAAATATATTCAGTGTGGTGAGGATCAAGGACACAATGAGGACAACATGATGAAGAGGTCTCGAAAGGGCTGTGCGTGTGTGCTCATGTAACCCCGTCCCGTAAATAATGGTAAACTTCTACACACTCAGCAGGGTTACTTTTCCTCCACTACTCTCAGTCCATGCACCTCACCGAAGATGTTGGTGAAAACAGTCTAAGAGGAAATTAGTACACTTACGACAATAGACAATAAATAAGAACCATGAACAGAGTTGACAGGACTCTCAGGAATATGCCATTTTTAAGAAACCCTGGATATCTGTGATTCTATGTTCTGATCATGAGCCAGACTGACTAAATTTAAATTACTTGCAGCTACATTACCTGTGGGATACCTTTAGGAACACCACCCATAATATAACTTCTTGGATAAAAAGAAGAAAAAAATAAATATGAATAAATAAATATGAATCAAAGCACAGGATGCCATTCTAAAAACATAATAATTAGAGATTTATAAATATGTACCAATACGTGCCGAATTGCAGATGAAACACTGAATACTTGCCCCGTAGGATAAATCATTAGTGCCAGGATGAGGCTGTTCCAGCATTAAACAGAGTGAAAAATGACTCCAGTGTACAGACGAAGAAGACTGACAAGTTCAGACAAAATACCTGGAACCTCTAAACTCTGACCTTGAAAAACCTGCAAATTAGCATTAAGCTAATGCGGTCTTAGACACACTGTGACTGCATAACTGCAAATATTGAAAGATCACTTAACCAGTGAACACAAAAGTCTTAATGTAAGCATTGGTATGCATGTAAGCTACAACTATATACATATACATCTATATAATCACCCTCTTCTATATAAATAGGAGAGTGTGATCAAAAAGTTCTGGGAATGGGGCCTATAAAAATGAAAAACACCTGATTTAAATTTGCCTAATCTCTGCAGATGAAAGAAAACATCAACTTGGGTTTCAAACTGACCTACATTTAGTAATGGATCATGACTGGTGTTAAGAGCTGGATCTCCAAGCTAAATCAAAGACACTTGAAAAGGTCAGAGTGTTCAAACCTAAAGGCGGTTCAAGCCCAGTGTCACGCTGTTAATGCAGAGTTTTGTTTGGCCCCCTGAGGTGTCAGAGTAAGAAAATTCACAGAACTGTGCCGAGTGCCAGTGAGCCTGGAGACTATTTTCGGCACACCAACACAATTTTCTCTCTCAACCTGGACTGATCCAGATGAGACTCCATGCAAATTTGCCCACTTCATGAAAAAAGAAAATTTGATTAAGGGATTGCCATTTTTACACATCACAGGAGACCCAGCTTCAGGGGACATAGCTACATTTTTAGAGTGAACATAAAAAATATTTTAAAGAAAATCAGACGCACTGAAAAGAGCCTGAGGTGCATGACAACATGATGCTAAACAGGAAACCCGCCAAATCTAAATTCGGCACAGTTTTCCATGTTTAAAAGGTCCATTTCGAGAACCTTTTAATCCCCCACTCCTCATGTTTCATTCATATTTCATGCTGAACATTTTCTACAGGTTGTACGCACTGCTTAGCCAGTCACTCAAAACTGGCAGGTTTCTACCTTCAAAAATATTTCAAGTGAAGCTCCGGCTGAATAATTTTATTCACTTTCATATGTTGAAGCATAAATCTGATAATATTGGGGAGGGGGACATATTGCACTCCATCATTTCTAACAGTCTCCAACTTTTCAACAAGATTTCAGATACTAATGAAGAAACAGGAAGTTGTGCTCCACTACAGGCTGTACAGTAGTATACAGTACTGAGCAAAAGTCTTGAGTCACACCTCATTTCTTTATATTTTGCTTCCAGGAAGTCAGAGTTTTGTTTCATTTTTTTAAATTGGTCTTGAGGTCTTGCAAAGTTTTTCTTTGGACACTGGCTGCTTTTTCACTCAATTTCAGTCCAGTTCTTGCACCTGACCATTTTCAGAGGAATTTTGTCTGTTAACCCTTAACCAAGGCATGAAGCAGTGTTGTCTATACACGACAGAATACTCAGCAAAGAAAAAAATCTAATTGTATGTTTAGCCACTTTGTTACTAACAGCATGTTGCCTAACCATGGTGGAGACTGTCATTCTGCAATTCATCCAGCGGAGTTTAAGTTTTTATCACACCTGATGGAAGTATGAACGCAGGAAAGTTTGGATTTTAATCCAATATCATCTGGAAAGCTTCTGATTGGCTGAGGTTGTTTTTTTAAGCATCACAACGATCCCAAACACCCTGCTGCTGGAGTAAAAACATAGTTGGATAGAAAAATCAGCCAGTGGAGCACAATCACAGACTGACCTCCCCAGAACCCAGACTCCAACATTACTGAAGTAGTGTGGGATCATTTTGGCAGAGAACTGAACCAAAGCCAGCCAACATCCAAAAAAGAGTGTTGAATGTCCTTAAAAAAACTATTCTTCTAGAACATTCGAACTATTCCTGAAGACTACTTAAAGAAATTATCAGAAAATCTGCCTAAGAGAGTGTGTTATAAAGAATAAATGTGGTCACACCAAATATTGACTTCCAAGTTTGTACAACTGTAAAAACTCGGTTTTTGCCTCATATATTTCCATGTATGGCTGCACATTTCAATAAACTATTTCCCAATTTTCCTGACAAAAAACAAAGAAATGAGAAGTAGTTCAAGACTTTATGTAAAACACATCAGGCACTTCCCATAAGGAAGTGGCTCTCTGTGCTTAATTTAAGAAACGTGTACTCCCTGCTGTTGAAAATCTGTGATGACACTTTAACTTCTTCTTCTCCTCACAGGTATTTTTCAAGAGAATGATCGGAGGGTTTTTGTACCACAAAAGCATACGCTCTATTTTTTTTCCTCTCTCTGTCGCATGTTTTGTTTAAAATCTTGTTCATCTTCACCTTTGTTACAATGTAACACAGTTATGCATATGATCATTAATATAACAACCAAGTAAAGAGACATTTTAAGCATAATTTCATATTGTCCAATCAAATAACTTGATTGGAAAAAACTGTTCTGTAATTTTTGTACACACACACCCTTTAATGTTTCTTTATGGCGACAGGCAGGTAAGACATGCCTTTTCATCTGCTGCATAACCCACATTCATCACTTTTTAAATGTTAATGAGTTTTGATTATATGACCGGGCAATAGATGTTATGTGCGATATTCTCGTCCCGCAGCATAAACAGCTGACATTTGATTCTGAAAGCCAGCCGTTTCCAAGAATTCTCTCAGTAAGTGCGAAAAAAAAATAATGAGGCTCTGAGGGGGGCGCGGGTGATGAGGCAGATAAATAAATAACACCTGCCTGAAGGAAAGGCAAGAGAAGTCAATCATATCTGATCATCAAAGGCTGTTGTCAATCAAGTCAATACCAATCCGTCTTAACAGAACTGAAATCATGAAGAGCTTTGCTGAATTTTTCATCATAAAACACAAGTCTCAACACAAGGTCGACATGCCTGATGGGAAGCTATCGCCTTAAAAACAGCCTCATAGCAAGACATGAAAAAAATATATTGCTAGAAACCTGTTTATCTTAGAAACCCTTTCACCACTTGCATGGATAGTTATTTCTAGTCCTCTCATCCAGAAAGTATTAAGTGTCTGTTTAAGTAGAAACATTCAATTATTGTACAGATTTTCATTTGTATTTAAATGTTTTTTAGATAACTGTAGGGTTTATTTTATAATAATTATCAAGAATAGATAATGTTATTGCACAGTAAATGTTAAATGATGAGGATACCTGCTTCATGTAGGCATAACACATAGTTTCCGCTACACGCTTCCCTTCATCGTAGCACGCTCGAGGACCGATCGGGTTCACGTGACCCCAGTAATCCTCATTTTGGGGGTGTACCTCTGGATCTGAAACAAAATTATTTCAGGAACAGATCAAGCAGTTTTCACATAATTTCAGCTCAGCTTTCTCCACACAGAAAAAATTGCTTGTTCACTGGTGCACACACAGACACGTCCATGTCTGCCTAGAAGATACAGCTGCATTTTACCACTTAGCAGATAAGATGAAACATTTGCAATAAATAATTAAGGCCTGTAAGAACAGGCTGAATGACATACCTTCATTAGGGTAAAGCTCTCATTTGCCATTTCTGAATCTCACAGTAAACACGGTACAATACTTCAGCCTCACAATAAGCACAAATTTTAAGAAATCATTTGGATTTTTTAAACCTCTTCATCAATTATGACTCTCAAAATCTGATTAACTGTAGTTGCCGTGTGTGAATGAATATAACAGCACACATACACATAAGCTAACACCCAGGTTTGTTCAATCTTGTGCTCTTGCTGTGATTGAAACCCAAACTGCGTTTTAGTGAGAGATGCAGGATGGATCATAGGAATGAGCAGTAAATAACATCAGGTGTGCGAAAGGCTCACAATGGCAGTGGAAAACAAAACCGGCTTCAGAGATCTTTCTTACCTCCATAAACCTCAGAGGTAGAAGCCAGCAGGAGTCTTGCGCCCACACGCTTGGCCAGGCCTAGGACACAAACAAAACAACAGTGTTATGGTAGGTTGAGCAGGTAACACTCTGAACCTCTGGGCAACCACTTTAGATCGTGAGGTGGCTGCACAAGTGATCTGGTGGGAGGCAACCTGTCTTCAAACAATGACAATACAACTGGAGAGTGTCTGGAATCATTCTCATAGAGCAGTACATTGGTCCTTTTTGTTATACTGGTATCCACGTATCATTTAATTTTCTGAGTTTGGGGATGACAAAGTTTCTTAGCCTTTTTAAAAAAAAAAATAATAGAATAGATTTCCATAACAATAACAAAGACGACTCTTGACTTGTTCAACAATGGTTTCTATTATATAAATGTTTCATGGTGGCTCCTTCAAAAATGACAGGACTATTAAGGATATACCTGCTATTCTGACTCAGTACTTATTATCTGACCAGCAGGAAAATGAAAATGAAAAGTTATTTGGTTCTCTCAGAGCTGTACCACTGATGGAGTTTCAAAATGCATTTTACATCTGAAAGCTTAATCACTATTGTTAGCACACAAAAAAAGCCTCACCAGACTTCTCATGAAGGATCGAATAGGTCGCAGAATCATATATCCTTAAGTAATGAACCTAAGTTTGAAAATTCTGACAGCACCCAGACAAAATAATATGACGGGCATTTTTTTCTGGAGCAGCTGGATAAAAAGCTGACAATTTAATGAGTGAGACTAATGGATCCTATTTCTTTCCCTTTACTTCTTCAGTCTGACTTGACAACAAAGACATTTTTTATACAGGCTTAACTGAAGACTGAAGAATATTTTACAATATTTTATTGTTAAACGGATGGAGAAATAAAAAAAAAAAAAGGCTGCATCAATTCTGATTTACAGGCGATGCAATTAGTGAATCTTTTTAACCCTATCCTTGAGTTATCCTTGAGTACTGAGTTTACTTACCAAGCATGTTAAGTGTGCCAATGGTGTTGGTCTTCAGTGTTTTGATGGGATTGTACATGTAGTTAGGAGGAGAGGCTGGAGATGCCAGGTGATAGATCTGGTCCACTGTGAAGAGCAGGGGAAACAATAATCAATAAATCAATCCTGTTTTCATAAAATCTGTATATGAGGATTTTTTCCTTACTTTTAAAGCCTTTATTGATAATCAATTTAGGAAGCTTAGGCTTTAAAAGAGCAGGAGAGGAGACTAAACTCAAAAAGCAAAAAACTCCTACATCACTTTGTCCTTGAGTTATCGCATTCACAAACTTGGGTGTCTGTGGGTGACTACAATAGCCCTTTAACCTTTTACGGCTGAGAGGTAAAAAGCTGTAATAATGCAGCAGATTCAAGCTGAAGGGCTTAAGAGTAACAGATATATGTGCTATATCATATTAGAACAATGGACTACAAACAACTATCTATACTTTGGGAGCTGCAGGTAAGTCTGAACTCCAAATACAACAAGTTTTAGCTCTGAAGAAATGCTTGGTTTAAAACAGTACTACTGCAAACCAGAACAGTTGTTCTTTGAGGCTTTCAAGGTTGAGTTGCAAATCTATGTGTCAAACATTTTAAATGGACGAAAACTGATTTTTAAAAGCGTTTAGAACAATATAAATAACGTACGTAATCAGAAATTAGTAGGTCATGTTATTTGAGTTATTTCTATTATTTTTACCCCAAACTGCAAACGGCCAATGGGTAAACCAATATGTGGGATACTTCCATATTCACTGAGTCCCCCATGGCTTTCCCGGGAATCTTTGATTATACAAAGGCTTTGAGAATAAACCCCAGAGTCAGAGTCCTAAAAGCTGCACATTGGTTTTAAATGGAAACTCCTGTAACCTGACTGGCACCAAACTGTAGCAACCTTTTCCTCCTTTGGATCCATCATTTGTGTGGAGAGAACACCTTGTTCTCCATATCCTTTCTTTAACTACACTAATTCAAATGTGTCAAATTAAAACTTTTCATAAAATGACAATGATCCTCAAAGTTATTTAATAAGCAATAAAAAAAAAAACTTGAAATGCATTATGTGTACTTAGTCTGATCTTTGTGGTTATCCTTGTAAGTAGTCCTTACTGCCCTATAAGTCTTGAACAGGTACTTATCTGTCTCGTTCCCAGTCTCTAGCACTCCACAGCATTTTCCTGTTTTGTAGGCCACTCAAATCATTTCTTTTCAAGGCAAAGCCTATCAGCCACTGAAAGCGTGACCTCCTCTTCCATGCCTTACTTTCAAAGCTTATTCCATCCCATCACTCAGTATTTTTAAGTCCATTGCAGTACCTTGTGTTCCTCTCAAAATTCCAAAGACACTGACGTCAGATCAGACTATTGCGAGCAACAGGAGATCTCTTTTGCTGTGCACATTTATTTTTAGAATACATTTTCAAGACTGTATATTAGCAATAACATTAAATGTCAATCAGACACGTTTGGTTGATCTCTTCCATATGAAATGTGTTCATCATTAGCACTCTCCATGCGTATGGTACTTTAATGGGGAAATTTTTTCACACCAAACTGCAGTGATGTCTTTAAGACATTATCAGGCAGAAAAACCAATTGCTATGCTGGAACAAAATACTAAGTATGTCCTTTCTGCAGCAGACATGTTGGCTGCTATTACCTCAGCCGTCAATCCTCCCTGCCGTTAACAATCCCACCTCTGCCCATTCTCGTCCACCTATGTAGACACCAAGTCTAACAGAGTGTTAGGCTGCTTTTGACAGATGGTATACCAAAGCAAACAAACAATGTCAACACACTTGGATTGACTGAGAATATCAAGGCACTCAGCACCCTGTAACAATTCTAAGCATGTACTGGGAATTTAAAGATAGACTGGAAGAAAAAGTGATAAATAGAGAAACTCAAATAGTCTGGCATCAAAACAGAAAACCAAAGCTCTTTCCATCCTGACAGGCACCTACAGATCTTGACCACTCTGAGGTGTCAGATCGTGATAGAAAGTGCATCAAACATGCCGTACCGCTACTGATCACGCCAATCCGTGCAGATAGCTTCTATTGATAACTATTGATGGACGCTTTTGTTTTTGTATCCCATTTTCAATTCACACAACCCCTAAAATGCCATTCTTAAAAATAACCACATCCAGGAAATGCTAACCTGATAGTTTGTATATTTTTGTATGACACTACAAAGCATGAATGTTTTGAGTTACATAGGTTTAATTGAGCTTCTCCAGCATTAAACTTTTAAAATGTAAATGCAGTTAGAATTACAACACTGTCGGACGACCCTGTGATAAGTCATCACCGTGGACACCAAAGTACTGTATGTTTCTTAAAATTACTCTTTTTTTTTTTATCCTTTTGGGGGTTGGAGTGGTGTAACCTCTACTCAGAACAGCATTAAAGATGACCTATTTTTGTATGAGCTAGAAGCTCTACATTCTTATTCTGGGACTCCGGTAGAGTAGTTTTGCATGTCAACTGTTATACTGGCCCTCTGTGCAACACCATCAGTTTATGCTCCATCTGAAACAAGCCCTTTTAGCCCCCTGTCTCTTTTGCCCTCCTCCATGCAAGCCGACTTTCTTATTTCTGGCTCGCTCAGGTTGGACTTCAGCCACCACCTAACTAAAAAACGAATTTAAAAAAACATGTTCCTCATTCTAAAGCTTCATATTTTGAGGCAAACACAGCCACTTCAATACTCTTTCCACCTGCAGGTAGAACCCGAACTTTTAGCATTTCTTAAAAAATAAACAACTTTACTGTCTAACAGAAAAAGCATTTTGTGATCAACCAGCAAAGCGTGCAGAGTTTTAATAAGCATGCTCATGATGTCCACGTCAAAGTGGGCATGAGCAAGTGGATGACTGTGTTAAAATCATGTTAAAATCCTAGCTTTTAGCTCAGGATGAAGTCTGAGTTTTTAACTTAGAGTGTACATAAGCCTGCATCATCATTTGAATGCCTGGCTTCATCAAGCACTGTGCTACTTTATGCTGAAGACATAGAGCACTTATATCTCAGTGAGCTGTTCACAAGGCAGTGATGTAATATTCGTTTTCTAAGGGGTGTTATTCAATACGGCTTTAGTAAACAAGAGCGTATTTTCTTATTTCAGATATACTGAGTGGAATCAAACACATTTGACTAAATGGAAAATAACTTGAGATAGCAGCATTGTGGATTATACCTCTTGTTTCAACCAACAGGCAGACAGTAGAAATAAGTAGAAAAGGTCATTACCTACCACTTTCACTTTTTCACTCACCTTCAATGTAGAGAGGCTCTACCACATCGTGATTGATGAGTTCAAAGTTTTCATGACCAATCCAGTGCTCCACGTTCCTCTTTCTTCCTGTGAAAAAGTTGTCCACCACAGTCACCTCATGGCCATCCATCATCAATTTGTCAGTCAGATGGGAACCCACAAAACCAGCTCCTCCAGTTATCTAATAGCAAACACATAGTGGTGGATACGTTTGCAATGTCAGGGTATGCGGAGTCTTCTTAAGTGTATATTACGTTACAAAGCAATGAAATGCAGCCTGTGAGCAAACAGTACCTTCAACATAGCATGCATGCAAATCCACAGCTGTATTACACTAGCTACAAGTGCTCCACCGTTTTAAAATACAATTAAATATGCTACGCAAGCCAGCAGGATTCATTATCTCCCATTAAATGAATATTGCCAGTCTTACACAAATCTGTGGAGAGGTTTTGTGCCATTGTTTCACAGATTATTGTGATATTGTATCATAATATAATAGGCTAATATTTTGTTGCTTTACTTTCTACTATTACCTCTTAACAGCCACCAAACAAACAACTTAGGGGTTAGGGTTACTAGAAGACACAACAGGGAGTGCAGAATTATTAGGCAAATGAGTATTTTGTCCACATCATCCTCTTCATGCATGTTGTCTTACTCCAAGCTGTATAGGCTCGAAAGCCTACTACCAATTAAGAATATTAGGTGATGTGCATCTCTGTAATGAGAAGGGGTGTGGTCTAATGACATCAACACCCTATATCAGGTGTGCATAATTATTAGGCAACTCCTTTCCTTTGGCAAAATGGGTCAAAAGAAGGACTTGACAGGCTCAGAAAAGTCAAAAATAGTGAGATATCTTGCAGAGGGATGCAGCAGTCTCAAAATTGCAAAGCTTCTGAAGCGTGATCATCGAACAATCAAGCGTTTCATTCAAAATAGTCAACAGGGTCGCAAGAAGCGTGTGGAAAAACCAAGGCGCAAAATAACTGCCCATGAACTGAGAAAAGTCAAGCGTGCAGCTGCCAAGATGCCACTTGCCACCAGTTTGGCCATATTTCAGAGCTGCAACATCACTGGAGTGCCCAAAAGCACAAGGTGTGCAATACTCAGAGACATGGCCAAGGTAAGAAAGGCTGAAAGACGACCACCACTGAACAAGACACACAAGCTGAAACGTCAAGACTGGGCCAAGAAATATCTCAAGACTGGTTTTTCTAAGGTTTTATGGACTGATGAAATGAGAGTGAGTCTTGATGGGCCAGATGGATGGGCCCGTGGCTGGATTGGTAAAGGGCAGAGAGCTCCAGTCCGACTCAGACGCCAGCAAGGTGGAGGTGGAGTACTGGTTTGGGCTGGTATCATCAAAGATGAGCTTGTGGGGCCTTTTCGGGTTGAGGATGGAGTCAAGCTCAACTCCCAGTCCTACTGCCAGTTTCTGGAAGACACCTTCTTCAAGCAGTGGTACAGGAAGAAGTCTGCATCCTTCAAGAAAAACATGATTTTCATGCAGGACAATGCTCCATCACACGCGTCCAAGTACTCCACAGCGTGGCTGGCAAGAAAGGGTATAAAAGAAGAAAAACTAATGACATGGCCTCCTTGTTCACCTGATCTGAACCCCATTGAGAACCTGTGGTCCATCATCAAATGTGAGATTTACAAGGAGGGAAAACAGTACACCTCTCTGAACAGTGTCTGGGAGGCTGTGGTTGCTGCTGCACGCAATGTTGATGGTGAACAGATCAAACACTGACAGAATCCATGGATGGCAGGCTTTTGAGTGTCCTTGCAAAGAAAGGTGGCTATATTGGTCGCTGATTTGTTTTTGTTTTGTTTTTGAATGTCAGAAATGTATATTTGTGAATGTGGAGATGTTATATTGGTTTCACTGGTAAAAATAAATAATTGAAATGGGTATATATTTGTTTTTTGTTAAGTTGCCTAATAATTATGCACAGTAATAGTCACCTGCACACACAGATATCCCCCTAAAATAGCTAAAACTAAAAACAAACTAAAAACTACTTCCAAAAACATTCAGCTTTGATATTAATGAGTTTTTTGGGTTCATTGAGAACATGGTTGTTGTTCAATAATAAAATTATTCCTCAAAAATACAACTTGCCTAATAATTCTGCACTCCCTGTAGAAGAAAAAACTAGAAGACGTTAACTTTAAAACCAAGTCGTTTGCATGCATTCCTGTGCAATCAATCAATAGTTGCGTATACAAACTTGAATAGTGCCATCCATAAATGTCACTCGTCACCCATATCCAGCTTTAATATAAAGGCACCCACCTCCATATTTCACGGCCAACACTTTGCAGTTGCTGGTGTCCCCGAGCTGTTTAATCTCTTTCACTTTTTCCTTCTTACTCATAATACATAGAGGCTGATATCTTTCAGTGTGTTTCACACCTTGTATGCAGTCACTAAAGTAACTGCCGCACAGTTAATATTCGTGCGAAGTCAGACACACGATCATCCATTTTCCAACAGTACGCCTCTTAATCAATGCAGCATTTGTGTTTCAACTCATGTTCATTGCACTACTTATACTCTTGTGACCTCTTCAATCTTTATGAAAGCTTACTTTCTGTTTTTTATGCTTGCAGTGTCTTTCTAACCTTTCTAACACTTTATCTGCTAAATCATTAATGATTCTACTACACTGAATAAAATACTAAAGGGTTAACTTATCGATTCTTTACTCCACTCCAAGTATGGTCGTTTACTGCTGCTGCTGTCTATTATATCACACAAACAGTAATAGTATATAAGTTTTACTTAGGAGTGGATCAGAATGGGAAGCCTCGGCTCCATCATTGATAGCTTTATGATTCCACTCGGCCCATAAACACTCAAGAGTTTCCACCTCAGGATAAGTGGGCTCAGAGTTAAGGGTTACATTCAGAGCTGGTCATTCATTTATAATGAAGACTATATTGTTGTTATCTACCTCACATTTTTATCAGATTGCACAGGGATATTCTCAGCAGGTTAACTGAATGCATGACCTGAATTATTGCCCGTTGTTGGAATAAGACGCATGTTGTGTTTCATTTTCTCATTACCAGTAGGCTCACATAATCCCTTAAAATGTTTATTTTGCACTGATGATATGTACATTTTTAAATTTGAAGTAACTATGCCATGTAGCCATGGCAGTAGACAATGCTTTGTATTCGTACATATTCATTTAGAAAATTAATGAAATTAAACGAATCTCAAATTTGGCCTCAATCTTGAGAAACTGGTTTTAGAACAACTGCTAGCAGTATTTAGTTACAACAGCAAGCTACACAGCACCAAAACTGCTTTTCTAACTTATTCATGTCTTCAGACTTCAGACCAGGACAGACACATCTACGTCCTGGTGCTGCTTGACCTCAGTGCAGCTCCGACCAATATGGATTCAGTTGAACTGTTGATCACAATATAAACACATTTTTTTATTTTAGCTTTGTGAAATCGTTTTTTGTCTGACTCACTTATTTTTATGTGTCCAATCCAAGTATTTTGAGGCCACTGTTGTTAACATCTTTTATGTACAGTTACTAAAGTTACCAAATGGTTTTCATTGACCGTAAGAAAATAACAGAACTCTTCACTAACCCCCCCCCCAACAAAAAAAAAAAAACTATGCCCACGTCACAACTTCCTGTTTGTTCCACTGCAGGATGGTGAGTGATTCAGAAGGTCCTTGGTTGCTACATTACTGCTCACAGTCTGACTCAAAGGAGGGCTAAAGAGCTAGATAATTAAGTTCAGACTTCTTCTGAGAATATCTCGAGATGTTTCTGTGGTACACTGCCAACATTAATACTAGAGCTTATCCTTTTTTATCATATAAAGAATATAAAATTAAGCATAACGTAAAAATGAAAACTATGAATTAGCTTAAAGTT